TGATAACAGTAGCAACAATAGTGTAAAATGAATTTAAATTGACTTAACTTACAGTAGTATGTGAGGACGTTGCTAATTGTTGTTTACGTTCAGGATGAGGGAAACGCCCAGTAACATGGTGAAAGCTGGATAGATGGTACAATGATCAAAATTATATAAAATACACACAAATGTGTGACAAGAACAAGTTAAAAACAGATTAAAAATTTTTAGAACATGAAAGCATTACATCGTGAAGCCACTTGATGATTGCACAAAATGGTGGTCATGGAATAATGAGTGAGATGAACCCTTTGACAGAAGGCCGAAGGTTGTCAATGTCTGTGTAGAAAGATGGAACGAATTGTGGGCGTGTGCCACGTTGCCAAATCACTTCAGATGATGTGATTTTCAGAATGTTATGTAAGAAATTGTTAAACCGACCGGAGGCAGTTGAATTAACTATATTTTAATTAATGGGAAATTAAATTAACAATTATTATTAAATCGTGAGGAGAAAATTATTAGAATTTGAGTGGAATGAAGTTTATTGGTGGAATCGACCAAGAAACAAATTCCATTTATGGTTGTGAAGAGTCAAAATTTGGGGATATATGTAAGTTCTCCAATTTTTCGCAATTTAGCAAATATGAGTAAATGACACTCAGTTGCTTAACATCTGTCTTTTTGTTGATACAGATCTTATTTAGTTCACCTTCCAATATTTTGCCAAACTCTAATGATACAAGTAATAGTCGCACAACGCCTAATAACAGAACTGATAGAATTCCCAACAATAACATCAATTCAAACAGTACAAGCACCAACCCAAACTCCAGACCTGGTTTTGCTGTCCTACCCTATATCAAGGAACTGACCCCTAAGCTGATCAGATTGTGCAGTCCTTTGAACTTTCGAATTGCTTGCAAATCCGTCCTCACTATCAACTGCATTTTTTCAAAAATGAAAGACAGAATCCCGCTGCTTGGCTTAACCAACACAGTCTACTCCATCAATTGCAACAACTGCAACCAAATATACATAGGTCAGACCTCCAGATCTCTTAAAGGAAGGATTACATCACACAAAAGTGATTCTAGGCTTCATCCTGAAAGATGCGCTCTAGCATCTCATGTTAACACAACAGGGCACTCTATGAATTACACAAGTATCAAAGTTCTTGATAAACACCTATCCAAACGTTTATTCCTGGAAATGTCCCACATTTTCCTGAATAACAACTGTATCAACAAAAAGACAGATGTTAAGCAACTGAGTGTCATTTACTCATATTTGCTAAACTGCGAAAAATTGGAGAACTTACATATCTCCCCAAATTTTGACTCTTCACAACCATAAATGGAATCTGTTTCTTGGTCGATTCCACCAATAAACTTCATTCCACTCAAATTCTAATAATTTTCTAGTCACGATTTAATGATAATTGTTAATTTAATTTCCCATTAATTAAAATATAGTTAATTCAACTGCCTCTGGTCGGTTTAACAATTTCTTACATAACATTCTGAAAATCACATCATCTGAAGTGATTTGGCAACGTGGCACACGCCCACAATTCGTTCCATCTTTCTACACAGACATTGACAACCTTCGGCCTTCTGTCAAAGGGTTCATCTCACTCATTATTCCATGACCACCATTTTGTGCAATCAAGTGGCTTCACGATGTAATGCTTTCATGTTCTAAAAATTTTTAATCTGTTTTTAACTTGTTCTTGTCACACATTTGTGTGTATTTTATATAATTTTGACCATTGTACCATCTATCCAGCTTTCACCATGTTACAGGGCGTTTACCTCATGCTGAACGTAAACAACAATTAGCAACATCCTCACATACTACTGTAAGTTAAGTCAATTTAAATTCATTTTACACTATTGTTGCTACTGTTATCAATGTAATTGCAGCTCCTGATGATGATGGCAAAGTCCATTGAAAGCTAGAGAGAATTAAAAAAAGTATAAAGAGTCCTCTTTGCTTAAATTTTGTCGAAGTACCCAACAAAAGGCGGAAGCTTTAATTTTTCACCTATATATATATATATATATACTTGTCTACCGCCTTCTTTTTGCGACTTGATGAGGTTAAATAGACCTAAACTGTCCCGTTGGCGGACCTGTACCGCCACCCGGCAATCGGTACTGAGGTATTCCTTAACAAGTGTACAATCACTTGAACGGGAAGAAGTTGTATACTGAATACAACAACTTCCGGAACAAGCATCTGCCTCGGTCCCGCTCAGTAGAAGGTGAAAATAGCCGGAATTTTTTATTATTGATTTGTGAAGAACTGTTTAAAAGCCTCCCTTTGTGCGGGGATGAATTGCTTAACATGTGGGAACAGTAACATGTTCATTGTTTGAAATTCCTGATATTCTCCAAAATGCTGGTGTAAAACTTAATCTTTTGTATAAAGACCAACAAGATGGATTAAGCACCCCTTGGTGGAAGAAGAACCAAAATATGCAAGACTTTGTTCCACGTATTTTAGAAAAGGTAAGGTATTGATTGTGATTTATAAAAATGGAAACGGAAGTGATACTTTCTACAATTCTAATACATAGTTTTGTAATTTACGTTAGAACAATAAACTACATGTTATGTGTTAATTATTATTACCTGTTTTGTAGTTTCTGTTATATGATACTATCAGATATCATTTGATTTTGCCTTACCCCCGAATTAGTGATAAGCAAACCTCCTTTGGCCGCCAAATAAGTAACAGTGAAATTTGGCCGAAGTGATATTTGGTTGAAATAAATCAAAAAATTCAATTCAAATAATAAACTCAGCAAATATAGAATGAGGACAGGAACGCCCAGATCAGGATTGTTATTACCATTCATAATATAGTACCTGCAAACGATACAAAAAGTTATTTCATGAACAACTAAAAGTTATGCTAAGCATTTCATAACTGACTTAACGAAAGTATTGGCAAAAAGGTTAGATCTTAATACAGTGTAAGGCATGTGCGAAGTGTTTTATTTTGTAGAAAATGAATGTATACTTGCAACTAATTTATGACTATGATAACTGTCGACTGGACTATAGTAGCTTTTACGTATTATGAGCGAACTGGCAACGTCAAACTCATCCTCCAGGCAAAATGAAGGAAACTGCATTACCGACATCGTGTCTTGTGATTCTGGGATTCGCTGTTTAAATGTAAAAATATTAAATATGGCGTTTGTTTTGGCTAAGATCCAGATTCTCAACGCTTTTAAGTAAGGGATATTCAAAATTATCGATTAAAAACCGTAGTCAAATGAAATCATTTCATCTGGCGGCAAAACTTTTTCTCTGACTATTTCCCCCGTCTTCATTTCTGTCAATCACAAACGCGCAATTTTGAATTACAAATGAATCAAATCCAAGCGAATAACCAATATTTCTGTGTTATGTGCCGCGGTTATAATATGGTTCAAGATGACACACGGGTTGATGACGTCAGTTACACGAATCGCTTGAACGCGTTGGTTTTAACCGCGGTTTTGTTTCAAGTTGTTTATTTTAGAAAAGTGCGTATATAATCTCTGATTATTTTTATTATCACTTAATAATCGGTGCTTTTTCATCTACAACTGTATATGGAAAGTTTAAATAAGAAACCTTTCATAATATTCATGGGAGAAATGTTTTTTCAGATTTTTTTTTTAATGATGGAACCATGGCTTTGTAGCTATGATAACTTTCAATTCTCTAAATTTTTCCGCATGTCAAAGAAAACATTTATAAATTCAGCAGAAATGATGAAAAAAGAAATTAGCAAAACCGTATACAGGTGGATATCATCTAGTGAGTTTATATGGCCATATTTTAATATTCTTGTGGTATATGGCTACACAGGATACTTTGTTAAGCATAGGAACTACATTTAAAGTGTCCCCAACAACCGTAATGAGTATAACTAATAAGGTGCTCCACTTTATGGTAAAACTGAAGTCAGCCTGTATCATTTTTCTCAAAAATGAAGCTGAAGTACAATAACAATATCCAATACCCGGCAAAATTCTAACTTGTCACATTTCAAATAATAACCAGAAATATAAAACTACTCTTGAGTTGGGTAAATACCACAATTTTGCGGTGATAACTATGACATATAACAGCTGATTCGTGACGTCACGGATCTTATAACCAAACTGATAACTACACTCGCTTGAACGGATTGGTAAATACCAACCCAAAATGGTAAATACCATTTCCATTTGGTTATCCGCTTGAATTTGATTATGGTTTCTAGATGGAAGACTTTTTTGACAGCAAACAATTTTTCTGAATTTATAGTCAATAAATTTTGTACTATTGTTTTAAACAGTGCTAGTCAGCTTATTTGGTGAAAATGCATGTATAATCGGTAGCATGTTTTGTAAGCTATGTGTATGCAGAATAATATGTTGATCATGAAATCGTCTTGTTAAATACCATTCGGGCATCTAATTTTTTCCTGTGTTCCTGTGTTGCCACCAGCACTCATGCTTCTTGTTAAAATATTACTCAGCAGCTTGTTTTTCTATTTTTTTCGGAAAAATTAGATGCCCTTATAATATTACTTGACTATTTCCCGCGACTTGATTTCTACCAAACACAAACGCGCAATTTTGAATTACAAATGGTTTGTAGATGGAAAAATTGTATGACAGCTGTTGTCACCAAAAATTACAATACCATTGATAACAAGTAATTATGGTCTTCTAGGACACCAGATAATCTATTACTCATGAAACAGCATTGTCAAATACCATTCGGGTACCTAATTTTTTCCTGTGAAAAAAAATCGAAAAAATGAAAAGTTATTTTTTTCGGAAAAATTAGATTCCCTTATTTTACTTATGAAAAATTCATACAAAACCACTGACGATATCTGATAGCGTGTACTAAAGTTCGTAACAACGCCTGCAGATACTTTGATCAGAAGATTACCGTTAATATTGTTGAACAATTGAAACATTTGTAATTTGTTCTATATAAGACTTTTTACATTTCTTTTTGTTCCAGATCAAGCGGGAAGACAACGTATCTCAGAAGGTCTGCGGGAAATGCGTACAAAAAGCAGCAACAATGTACAATTTCAGGATAAATGCTCAAATGGCGGATATCAAATTAAAGGTCAGCTGTGTAACTCATTGATTATACTGTGGATAAAACTGCTTCATTGTGTGTTAATAACGGAAATAGCATGGAAATATATTCGGTATCAATAATAACAAAGCAACAAAATGTTTCTATGTATTCTGGGCAGAAACTTATACCAGGCTATATTAGAGTTGATCAGCACGGGTATCACGTATCTTGAAAAGTGACATTATGCCGATTTTTTTGACATTATGTAGATTTTTCTACAAGATGTTAACTAAGCACTTAGTTGTACGTGTTGCCTAAACGTCATGAGGCTTGTGTTATCAATCTTTGGCTCTGATGTGATGTAAAATCTGCTTCTGAGATGGCATTACTGGAGGTCTAAGCTGTAAGTTGTATGTGTTGATGATTTGTCTCAAATACTCTTAATTGAGATTCAAAGCTATAAATTAGTTGCGCATCCACTTTTTCTTATCCATTCTGGAAATGACATATACAAATTTGCTGAATTTCAAAAATGAGATAGTTAAGAAATAATTATATTCACTGTACACTGTCGAATTACAAGTCATATACATGCTAACAGTAATTACACACAACGCGGGCCGGTGATGATTTCCCGTAATTCTCCTCAGTTTTTTGTGATTTATAACTTTGAACATAACCTCTCGTCAGAAAGCACAACATAAAAATAACCCGTCGGGCACAGCCAATAGATATACTACATTGACAGCATATTCAGTAATGCTTTTCTCACACAGCAAATATCACTGATTTTATACACATGCAGACCAATACACATAATCATCCAGATGCCATCTTGCTATTCAACCAACTTTCTTGTCAAAGATAAACACTACAGACAACGTACCAGTTGGCCTCACAAAACATATGCAACCAATAATGCCTTGCTGAGTGATTATTCCTTAGATGGACATTCACAACGATCCAAGTGAGCAAACGTGGAATGACTGTTTGCGCCCTAAAAACTACCTAGTTTGCAAGATGACATCTTATATGTTTTTTTTTGACGTTTTATAGATTTTTTACATGATACTCTTGGGTTTTTGGTGATTTTGATTTCGATTTCAAAGCCACACAGTTAAGAATAGAAAGACTCCGCAAAAACGCACTTAAAGCATTTCACAAGTTTTTTCTATATAACATTCGCAAGATCGTAACAACAAAAACAAAAAGTTTTTCAAAATGTTTTCACTTCCTGTCTGCGGTGCGATCCAGAACATTGTATTATGCTATAGAACACACTATTTCAGTGATCTAAATCCACATTCTAGTGTGATAGGGGACAGTGAGCAAAACCTTTATTCAAGTCGTTCCCCAAATACGAATGAATTTCATGGTACCACTAGCTAATTATGAATATATTTTTTCTTTTCAGGATAAGTACGAGCGCTACGTAGAACAGAAGAAGAGAAATTTAAATGCAATTAAAAGTCATTCTTCGGGGCCGAATAGCGAATCAAGTGTGGTTATAGAAGGAAATAATGGAGTTGTCGCAAAACGACCACAAATACATCCGAGTATAGTAGACATTTTTTCGAAACACCCAAATATAAAGATGTCTAAAAAATGTTTACGGTTTAACATGCTACCGATTGTTTCTTTGGCCATGGACGAAGTCGAAACTTATTTCGAAAAAAGAAATATCGATTTTCATAAATATGCGCAAAAAGTATTGAGATCGTTTAAAAAAGATATCAGTGCCAAAACTGTTCAAGGAGGTAGTGGTTCTCTAACTAACGCTGAAAATAATCCTTCAAAATCTGTCGTAGTTAATCCGATTAAAATTGCAACAAACGACACTGGATATACCATAATTTCAAAACCACACTCTGAAATGACAGAAAATGGAACAAATGTATGCGTAGATAAAGTAAACCAGGTTAAAGAAAAACTAGCTGAAACAGAAGCTGAATCATCTTGTACTAATAAAACGATGAAAACTACAGACGCTACGCCTGCATCGCGAATCAGTGAGCCTGACAAAGATGTACAACTCGAGCACAAACTTGGGCATATTCCAGACGACGAAACAAATATATGCTTAGATCAAAGGAGCCAGATTAAACCAAAACAATCTGAAAGTCAATTTGAAGCATCTTCTGCACCTCAAACAAAAGAAACAAGAGGCGATTTGCCTGCTTTAATCAGTCTCAATGCGTTGAGTGAGCACAAACATAAGCATACAATTGCGGACAAAACAAATATATGCGGTGATCATGCTAATCAGGTTAAGAGAAAACTACCTGAAGATGAAGATGAGACAAGTAAAGCTAAAGAAATAAAACTCGATACGCCAGCTTTGCAAATCAACGAATCTGAACAGTTGCACCATGTATGTGACGTTTGTAAAGCTGTGCGACATAGTCTCGATGCACTGAATAAGCACAAACTGTGGCATACGACACAGGATAAAACAAATATATGCGAACATCCATCGAATAAAAAAAAACTATCTGAAAGTGAAATCGAAGCAACTGCTGTAAATAAAACAGTAAAAACAAAAGACGACACCGATGCTTCGCAAATCAATGCTCCTGGACAGTCGCGTCATATATGTGACATTTGTAAAACTGTACGACATAGTCTGAGTGCACTACATAAGCACAAACGTACGCATACGTCAAAGGATAAAAGTAATATATGCGAAGATCAAACAAATCAGATTAAACAAAAACTATCAGAAAGTGAAATCGAAGCAACTGCTGTAAATAGAACAGTAAAAACAAAAGATGATACCGATGCTTCGCAAATCAATGCTCCTGAACAGTGGCGTCATATATGTGACATTTGTAAAACTGTTCGGCATAGTCTGAGTGCACTAAATAAGCACAAACTTACGCATACGGCAGAGGTTAAAATAAATATATGTGAAGATCAAACAAATATGGTTAAACAAAAACTATCTAAAAGTCAAGTAGAAGCAACTGCTGTAAATAAAACAGTAAAATCAAAAGACGATGCCGATGCTTCGCAAATCAATGCTCCTGAACAGTCGCGTCATATATGTGACATTTGTAAAACTGTACGGCATAGTCTGAGTGCACTAAATAAGCACAAACTTACGCATACGGCAGAGGATAAAATAAATATATGTGAAGATCAAACAAATCAGGTTAAACAAAAACTATCTGAAAGTGAAATCGAAGCAACTGCTGTAAATAAAATAGTAAAAACAAAAGACGATACCGATGCTTCGCAAATCAATGCTCCTGAACAGTCGCGTCATATATGTGACATTTGTAACAGTGTACGAAACAGTCAGAGTGCATTGAAGAAGCATAAACTGAAGCATTCCAAGTGCCCGTTTTGTAAAACAAGATTAAAATCGGTAGAGGAAAAAAGAAAGCATTTAAAAGGTAGTTGTGATGTAAGAAACTTGAAGAGGAGTTGTCGAGTACCATGTGAGGTGAAACTAGAAAAAATGGAACTGAATAGGAGCATAAGGGAGAAATACCCGCAGGCGTTTACAGAATTTCCACCTTTTCCTGGCATGGAAGAGAAAAACTTAAACAGAATCGCGCGAGACTATGAAGAAAGTGTTGTTAATGACCATAAAAGAAAGAGGACGTGCGACAGAATAGTTAGTAACGGTGAAGATAGTTCTGGAGCTGTTAATGATACCGAAAAAGAATCCGCAAATGATGAGAAAACACCCAAAGTCACTGTAGACACATGCAAACCAGCAAATCTTAATCAGTGTAATGTAAACCCGATCGCTGATTCAAATCTGACTATCGAGACGAGTAGTTTTAGTAAAAACAGTAATAGCAACCCTGAACCAACCGAAGAGGTGTACACATCTGTGTCAGTTGTCAGGCCAATAATTAATATTAAAAACTGTTCAATATTAGACTACTTAGATCCAAAAGCGTCGGACGTGAAACTCATAAGAGATTTGCTGCTCACTAAGACAAACAATCAAATTGGTTCTTTGGATCAATCAACTCAAACAGAATACCTGGTGAATGGAACAGTAACTGCAAATCAAAACGAAATAACAGCTGAATTTAAGGGCTTAAAAAATATGTTGCATTTTTATAAAATCCCAGTTGTTATAAAACACGGTTCTTTCAGCGTATCATATAATACTGACAATACTAAAAACGAAAAGAAAAACATGTGTTTGTGGGATAATTTAGAGCCTATTGATGTAGCCGAAGTGAAGCCGATTCCCGTACCTAAAGAAGCATCAAGCATCTTACAAGGTTCATCCAATAAAGCATTGTTGATTAATCCTCCCACAGAAAGTTCAGTCGCAGCTCCGGTCACTGCTAATCCGTTGACCAATTGCAAAAATCCTGGAAACGTAACAAATCGAGATGCTAGGCCGTTTGTTACTATTGAAACACCTAGTACGTCGAAAGAACCGAATCGTGAGACTTTCACTTCAATTTCAATGATGCCCACCTTCAGTGCGACCACTTGGAATCAAAATTCATATTCTAATCCTGTTAGTGGACGTCACACTAGTTCAGAAATTTTGCAAACGACAGCTTCTATGTCTGGAACTCCAACGTGCTCTAGCAATACGATTGGTTCCTTATCAAGAGGTACACATGTAAATGCAATTCCACGACACGCACCACATCCAGTTCTTCCATCAACCGGTACATTCCAAAATTTTAACATGCAAGGGCAAGTTTCTACGTTATATAATAATATTCAGTTAGCACCGGCAAGTCAGAGCTCCGTTCGTATGCCAGTTCTTATGCCTCAACAGAATATTCAATCCATAATGAACCAAACCGTAAATCGTCCATATCTTCAAGGCAGCTCTGCAAACGAGGGTATATCGCAACTTCAGGGTACTAGTGGAAATCCGAATGCAGGAGAATCATCAATACCTGCTCCGGGGTCTATCAGAGTAAAAAGCTTGTATGATTTAACTTAGCTCATATAGATAAGGTACATGTATTTATCTATCGTAGAGGCTTGCTGCAAAAACAATTATTAGTAAAACTTGGAAAATGTTTGCTGTATCTCTAAAAATAAAGTGGTAGGGGGTATTCAAAGGTTTCCGTAAAAAAACACCCTGTATCTTCAAAATAGCTGAGCCGATTCTAACAAACTTGAGCTGGTTGAAAAGAGCTATTCTTGGACTACAAATGTTATAGTATTTGAAGTTTTGTTAGTTTCATATGTGGCCGCTAGATGGCCTTCTTCGACATTCCGACAGAAATGGTTAATTTTCTCAAAAAAATTGAAATGATTTTGTTATGAAAAAGTATCTGAAAGATATATCTAAACACGCTTGCGAAAACCGCATCTCGATATATTGTTCCTAAGCTAAAATTTAGGTCAGAGAAAATTTTATACGGAAATCCTCCATGTTTTGTATTTTCTTAAACTATTTTTTCAACAAGTACCGATTTAAAAAAGAGGTTTTTACTCTCCCCGTAAATGCTCGAACTGCTGACGTTCTGTTTTCCTGAAGCCTCTCGTGAGTAGACAAAATTGCATCTTCAATTTCGGCTGTTACGTATATTACGTATTGCATTACGAATCCGGTTTTTCATATCTTCTCTGGTTGTAGGTTAAGTTTGAAACACATGACGTCCTTTAACCGTCCCCATAAGTAAAAATCAAGACAAGTCTGGTGATCGCGGAGGTCATGGAAACAAACTTCCATCCAACTGCAAAAACAAGTTTTATCATGTTTCCAGTGGCATATCTTCCAACAAGACCGGTAGTTGATGATTGTCCAAAGAGTCAAGAAAGACATTGGTGCTGAACTTCGCGCCACCAATGCGGATTTTATGCAGACCAATAATGCATATTGCGCGGGTTGACTCTTCTGTCACTAATAACGGTGGCTTCATCGATACAAATAATATGTAATAAAAATTCTATAACATCCAATGGCAATTATCCAACCTCCGATCAAAGTCTTTCTCTTTTAAAGTCTGATGCAAAACGACATGTCATGGGTGCATGCTAAAAGTATTTTGTAATATTGTCACAAAGGGTGACTTTATTCTGATGAATAAAAAAGAATTCCAAAAAAAAAAATAGTTTAAAAAATAAAAAATTAAGTGATTTCCGGATAGAATTTTCTTTCATTTTGCTGTTTTTTATAAAAAAATCTTGCCAATGCATCTAATTTTTTTGGAATGTCGAAAAAAGCCCTCTAGCGGCCATATGTGAAGCTAACAAAACTTCAAATATTATAACCTTTGTAGCCCAAGAATAGCTCTTTTTAACTTGCTTAAGTTTGCTAAAGTCAACTCAGTCGTTTCGAAAATACAGGGTGTTTTTTTTTAGAGATACAGCAAAAATTATCAAACAAAAGAAGTTTATATTATCTTCGAGTTTTAAGATCACGTATTTTTGTTAGGTTAATATAGCGGAATTCACAGAAACATGGCTTTTTGCATTCAAGGTTGCAGTCACACCCCCTAGCGGCCATTTCAGGAACTTGAAAATATTTTCCTTGCCGTTATATTAAGAACTTCTCTGCCTCAAGCCTCTACGATGGATAGTTAGCCACGTTGTATACAGGATCCTGTTTTATTCTTGTAATTGTTTATCAGTTTATCATGAGATTGTGATACTTGTATATAGACTTTTTCTGTGTCTTACAAAAAAATACCTGTGAGTTAAGATTATATATGTACATAAGTATTGTATATGTAACTGATTTTCAACATTAAAGACGTCTTAAGCACGAATACTTTTTATTAGATGATGTTTGGTTATAACAGACGACAAAGATAGACTTTTGACGAAGTGTTCGAGATGGTGCAATAAAATTTGGGAATCCGCCAGCTAAGAGCATGTCAGTATTCAAACGTCTACAAAGCTCTATGGTTTGCACAGAATTCAAGATAATAAAGCACCAGCAATCTTAGGTTGGCTTTATCCAAGAAGAAGCAAAAGCGTCCATCCTTAGCGCTGGGCCCTACGATGAGCTCCCGTGCCAGACGTAGATGTCTGGAGATGCTTCTCCATTTCTGAGAGTGTTGTCTTGCAATCTACTTCATTTTCCTCCTGACTCTGCGCGGGCACCTCCGAGGCTGGCTCAGGACCAACAAGCCTGCTGGCTGTTTCCGCTTTCGCAATAGCGTCCGCTGTACCATTGCCCTTTATGCCAGCGTACCTCGCCTCGCTGCTAGAGAATCAAGTGTCTCCCTGCATCGAAATACAAGGCTCGAAGAAAAGATTGTTATTCCTGTTCTAGGCCAAAATGAAAATAGTGGTGTATCCACCAAGATGCAGATATAGCATAGTTCTAAGCCCAAAGACTCCGGCACCGGAGCCGTCCGAGAACCAGACCTGCCCACTCCCTCCGGAGAACTTCCAGCTACCGTTGTCGCACTCCGCCCTGGTTGGATACTCCACATTAAAGGTAGAAGCGATATTTAGTGGTGATCAGATCACCCGTGCTCAGAAGGGCAGGATCCTCCCTTTGCAGTTCGACTAAGAAGGCAGTGTGAACCTTGACTGGATTCAAAAAGGCCCAGCTGCCGTAACTCCAGAGTCGATGTGCGATTACCCTCGCTTCACTACTACTAGTAGTGATGTAGAATATTTGAATAACAGTTACAAAGTAAGCGGTACTTGCCAGGACTCGTTCTTGTTGCTATTTAGTTACTTTTTTTATCTTAGACTATGCGCTATAAATTTTAATTCTAAATCACGTACGACGTGGTTTCTGTTTTTTCTTTCGCAGAAACCTACCACGCGGTGTTCCTCGCTAAGGTTAACGTTTTAGTTCACAGATGGCTCAATTGACTACAATAGATGTCATATGACAACAGGGCATATGGTATTTTTGTTTGGGATTTTGGGGAATCAGGTGAATTGTGAGCGATTTTTTCAAAAGCGGAACAAGTCATAACAGAACGCAGAAAATAGATTAAAGTGTAAAAACGTAGAACGCATTCTTCTTTTACATTGTAATTCAGATTTATAATTATTAGAGTTTATTTGATGCATATAGGTAATATATTTTATTTTTGTGAGCAAAATATAGTTATGTTCTTTGATTACTTTAGGAAGTAGTTTTGAGAAACTGAGCAAATGAATTGAAAAATAAAGTTTCTGATTTTCATTACTTTTTTATTCATTATAATTCTTAACTACAGTAAATTAAGCAATATTAATAGATCTCGTTAGTAAATTGATATATTTACTAGTAAGGTAGCAAGTAATGAGATCATAGATAGAATCTATCTATTCTATAACCTCCGTAATCGGATAGATAAACATAACTAATAAGTACTACCTATATTTAACTTTGCACTATATAGTACGTATATAAATAAGTACTTTCAGACAAAATAAATGAATAACGCTATAAAGAATACTAAGTAACTAATAACGAGTCCCGGTATTCAGTTTGTTACAAGTCCTTGAAAATAACTAAACCTTACATCACTACCGCGGATCACTAGATCGAACGGTGGGAGATCAAGCAGATAGGCTTGAGACATATGACTCTTTTCTCTGATCTCGCTCATTTCGTTCATCTCTCTTCAGTGAGTCGTTCGTTCGGAGTCGTTCATTTGAACGATACGATTACTGACCGGCCTCGAAGCTGACGAGAGTATTGTGTTGCCTATAGTAACGACTCAGTGAGTCGGAGAATATGCATCATACTATGAAAATGAAATGAAGGGTTAGGGTTGCCGATGTTATTGTATTTATTTGAGTATTAATATTTTTGGTTGAAATTGAATGTAACGAATGTATACTTTCTTCCGAAAAAAGGAGAGATATGTGGTCCAGTTTTGAGGAATTATCGAATTCTGAATCAAAATGCAATGTTTGCTCTCAAATCCCATCATTTCAACGTATAATTTGATGAGACATCTCAAAACAAAACAACCGGGTTCCCTAGAAAGTAAGATAGTGTCTGTACCGTTACCTCGTTGTCAGTTCGCACTTCAGTTGCTACATACACGCTTGGCACAATTGAACGAGTCATATGTAACAAATGAGTCGTTCAATCATCGCTCACTTAGATGAGTCGTTCATTTTGAACGACACATGACTACAAGCAGAGCTTCCATTGCACTCGATGGCGTTGTTCGCACTGCGCTTGTAATACTGATACAGGCCAAACTATGAAATTTATTGAGTTTGGTTTTAGTTGTCTCGGTTTCAATGCAAGGCCACCAAACCAGGAGCCGTACAAGAGATGGACGTACTATCGTCGTATAGATCCTATATACCACTTTGGGTTAAAGCCCCCAATCAAATGCACCTTCAAAGTCCAAAAAGGGCACGAGTGCCACTTCTCGCTGGTCTAGAATCTTCTCCAGCTTACCGACCAGATTATGTAACGCCAGATCATTCGAGTTCCCAGCCTGTTATTCGAACTGATTGGAATGAATGATACTCTTTGGTAATACTTTATACAGCTGATAGAAACATTTTGGAGTAACTAAAAGCCTAGACGATGTAGCAGCTTCCTAAACACACTTTACCTAAACGGATGCACATATCTTGCATTCAAATACCATTAGGGCCAATTTCACCAACATTAATATTTGACGGTCAGTTGGACCAATAGGATCTCTTGCATATCTTTGCATATCCGTTCATATTCGTCAATGGCTTTTGTCATAAGATGTTAGCAAAATGTAAGATAGTAAAGGCAACACCGCACCCTGCAGCCCAGTTGACAAGAACGACAAGCTGTCAAGATTAGGGATGTTTAGATCCACGAAAAGTATCGTTATGTATCGATTCTTATCGTTTTAGGAAGTATCGATACTCTAAAGTATTGGAATAAAATTATCGATATCCAGCGGAAGGAAACAAAGAAGAAAAGCAATCTGAAGTTAGTCAGTCTTTCTGAGACAGTGCGGATCGAAAGATGACGATACTCGTGAAATGTATCGATACACCTAAGTGTCGTATACAAAAATATCGGGTATGGGAAGCAAAAGTATCGATACTTCTAAATATGAGATAGTATCGAACATCTCTACTTCAAGATGTATAACCCGAGGTACCGCCGGAGCTATTTTGGGGCGTCATGGATATAATTTAAAATTTTTATTTGCATTTTTTCAAGTGTTGTGCAACGATTTTGAGAAAAATTCCACGTATAGTCTTATAAATCATAGTAGAGTATATTTCAACAGTTGGCGGAGCTTACTCCACTGGGACCAAGTGTTGACGGATCCCACACATGTGTCACTCTTTGGGGAGTTTTGAAATGTAATAATCAGCTGTTATTCAAATAATTTCCAATATAAATATAACTTAGAATTTTTAAGTTTTTTAAGTTTGCCGGTAGCTTTACGACATATATTTGAGTATTCCTTAATCGCTGTAAATATAGTGTGGATGTTTGTTCAATCCCTGAAAAAACAAAAAATGTTTGACCTTATAGATGTATGGATATCAAAAAACCTGAATGGTCTTGTGGGAATATCAATCGACGTTGCTATAATGGTGCTGATGAGCGGCAAGTAAATGAATGAATGTTTGGAAATGAGCAATACCTATGAAATTTTTGGTAGAGCCTGTCATCAAGTAGGTGCTTAATGGCTATCTGCAAGAGGTTTATAGGAAAAAACACACGGTAGGTGATGTTGAATCAGTAAAATCGCTTACGAATTGAAGAAAATAATATAAACATGAATAAACAATCGACCATATTAAATCAAAACATGAATTTTATTCAAAAATCGGACACTTTTTTTTATTTATATGATTTATTCGGAGAAAATGTGATTGTAAAAACCGCTAAAATGTCTGAATTAATCAGATTATCAGGAATTTCAATAATTAGAAAGCTGCGACGGGTCAAGCATTCAGACCGCCTGGAAGCTGGTTTAAAATCTCTCCTCCATCTCGTCGAATTGCCGAAAGGGTCAGTCTATCCCATTTTTCCCTGCGAAAGTGAACAAACACATACCAAACGTAAACAAATTGAAAATAACCATAAATGCGTTGTCGCTTTTGAAGTGATCGATAACATGATAAATTGACATTTTCAAAGCCAGCTATGAGAATATTTGAAATAACTTAGGATTGACAATGATACTGTTTGTCATATTGTTGGAACCCACGAAGTAACCCCATCCGCTCGACGCTGCTCGCCGCTAAAGAACCGCCTACGCGCGCTGCAGCGGCTGCGGTGTCAATGCCGGATCTTCAGAAGTCAGAACTTTGCACCCCGCACACAGTGTTGCCAGAGCGAAGTTTAAAATATCCGTCACACGTATCGCAAAATTCCGCTACATGCCGCTACGGTCTAAAAATTTAAGGGGGGGAGGCTTAAAATAAACAACAAATATATTTTTTACATATTTACTTTTATTTAAACACTGTCTAAAAACTAAAAACTGTCTTTGGTTTAGAATTAGGAACTAATAAAAAATAGAAACTATTAACTAATATCTTAATCTTAATAGAAAAAAAAAAACAAAAAATAAGGACAAAGAAGAAGCGGAAACGTGGAAATGCCTACGTTTGCTTATTTTATTCACAGTCAGAGTCAGAAATTACTTCTTCTTCAGCTTGTTCTTCCTTATTTACATTATATAAATTCTTTTTATATTTGTTTAAATGATTCTCATTAAAACTATACGTATAGGATAAACAGCACTGTTTTTTTGATTCCAAGTCTAATTTAATTATTGTAAGTAGTGCAGACAAAGTTGATGGTATTATTTTATTTCTTTTTTTTGTTTTGTAATCAAGCATATAAGAAAAAGTTCGCTCAACATCAGCGTTTCCATGAGGCAATGTTAAAATGATTAGAGCCAGTTTACCTATATTGCGAAATAAATATTCGTCATGAAAATTTTTGAGGTCGTTTACAAACGACCAAAATTCAATGACATTACTTTTTGTTTTTAAAATTTCCTCTTTCTATCACTAAAATAAATACATATTTTCTTTAGTTCCAAAATTGCCTTTTCGGTTTTAATATGAAGGGCAAATTTTTTTAAAACGGTATCATGAAAGGTATCACTTATAATAAGACGATTGTTCATCACATCAACCGGTGAGAGAAACTTTAGCTCTGAAAAGAAGTTGTCTTTGATAGGAAATCTTTTAAGGGACTCTTCTACCGATTTTTGGTAAAATGTGACACATTTTAATTTAAATTGTTCGATTGCCGTGTTATTGCAGTGTTTTATTGCATCCATTGTATGCGGACCAACATTCACTTGTTCAATTGGTAATAAGCAGTGGGGATCATTAGGATTTAGATTATATAATTTCTCATTTTTAAAATATTCTGGTCGCATAAAGTTTGTACATAGATGACGTACAAATCGCTCACTCTCTATTGATATGATATTGAGCATAACTTTCTCTGATTGAAAGAGAGCATTAAATTGGTTAAAAATGGGCAACACGAATTTAAAAAACATTAAATACGCCTTAACAAATGGATTCTGTAACTCATTAAGTATTACATTTGCTACAGGATGTTTGTCTTCAATGGAAGCTAATCTAAATAGGCTAAGCAAGATGTCCCACTGATCCAAAACTCTATCAACACATTTGGATAAAGCAAGCCACCTTGTTTTACTAGGGCTTAAAATTTTTAATTTTGACTTTTTGAAATATTCCTGTAATTCTTCAAGAACACACTGCCTTTTTGGGCTTCTTGAGAAGTAAGAATATAAGTTTTGTAAAAGAGCTTCAACGTTGCTTGGAATCTTTTCAGCTGCCGCCACCGCCACTAAATGAGCAGAGTTGCAAATGCAGCCATTGACAATTATATTAGGATTATCTTTTAAAAGATAAGTTTTGAAAGATTCGTTATTGCCCATCATAACACTAGCGTTGTAGAACAGTATCCAACAATATTGGTAATTTTTACTTGATTGGATATAACGCATTTTTTAAAAAGAGAATATAAACATTTGGCGGTACCTTCATCTGCGTTTATTTTAATTATATCTAATAAATCGGTTTTAATTAAATTTTTATGAATATACCTTACAAGAATGCATAGTAGTCTTGTATTGCTCAGATCTGTACTCTCATCCAATAAAATAGAAAATGGTTTATTTTCCAATTCTGAAATTATTTCGTCTTTAATAACAGGAGCCAGAACATTTTTAATTATACTTATGCATTTGGATCTTTTTAATTTAAGTGAGCTAGAGAGATCTGGGTGTTTAAAACATAATTGACTAACTCCTGTTATATGATCAACAGTTCTAAAACTTATATAATGACTTACGACTAAAAGACTATATCTTAAGCAAGCAAATATTTGCCGTTTTTCCAACTCACGTGCTTCCCGAGACTGAAAAGTACTATCTAACGTTCTTACATTCGAAATTGCTTGTACATTAGTGGCATGCCTTTTTGATTTCGAATGATTCACTAAATCTGATTTTTTAGTACCCATTATTTGATTACAAGCTTTACATTTTGCTTTCAACTTGTCATTTTCAATAGGTCCCAACCAGCCTTTAAATAACGGATCTTCTAGCCATGATGAAGTAAACATTTGTTTTCGTGTCTTTTTCTTAACAGGTTGATCTGGCTCTTGGTTATCCTGAGATTCGCAAGTCGAATTATCAGGCCAGACCTGATTCCACTAGATTCCGCTCTTCTATTTTGTCTGTATTCAGGTTCGGGATGCTCCGAGTCCGACACAGATGCAGTCGAAGTGGATGGTACGGCCACGTTTGGTTTCACCGTTTGTTTTTTAGAAGGATTTTTATCAAAAAAATCATTAATGGTCTGCTGTTGCCTTTCCATTATTCCTATTTTCCAGAAGAAAAAGCTTTAAAAACAAATTTCGCGACTAAGATTTATTTCTGGATCAAACTATATATATAATATGTTAGATATTTAAGCAGTTTTGTTACTTACCAGTAGATTTAATATTAAAATCTGCAGGAAATGATATATCAATAAAATGATCAACACAAAAATAAGAACACTAATATAAACGAAACTAAATAGTATACACCCAGAGCTGAAAAATACAAAAAAAGCGAGAAACCTAATATTATGTCTGCCCGCTGAGACCTGTTAGAAACGATTAGTATTGAAAGCACGTACGTACGCCATCTGTTATTGAAAAAAAAGGCAAGTGGAATAATTCTCTTCTATGTTCCTAGATGGCTCAAGCGGCACCAAATGCACCAATTTTATTATTAATGTGACTCTAGCCACTGCCTATTTAGGATTTAGAATGTTATTAACGCTAAAACAGTGAAATAAATATGATAGTTTTGTATGTAATAAATTCCGCTACATTTTGGGCTAATTTGCTCTACCGCCGCTACGCCGCCCTCAAAATAATCCGCTACAAATAGCGGAATTCCGCTACGTATGGCAACACTGCCAGCCACCGGGACAACCGGCATTCACGGTCGTATCGTCTCCCACCACCCGCTACACCCTCTGGTTTGTCATTGGTTTTGTGTAAGGGTTCGACGGTTCGACCTATTCTCAATAACAGTTATGCTCCCTCTCTCTTTAAATATATCAGTGTCTCATCAGGCAATAATCACGCGGTGATCACTGTTTTGTTTTAGTCTCCTTCTTCGATACATACATAATATAATGCATAATAGTTCATGCTGCAGGACAATAAGAGACAAACGTCATATTGAAATTCTAATTGTGTCATCCTGTAGACACTGTAGAGGAAAAACAGTGGCAATATTAATGTGCAAGTTGAAATCCCATTACAAATAAAGTCAGGAAAAAATTAAAACGATTTTGGAAAAAATCGGATTTGAGGTACGGATGACTACAAAATTACTAGATTTTGATTTTTCAATACTTATAATGTTCATGTTTTGATGAAAGCAGTCAGCATTTTGAGCTAATGTCGCCTGTCTGGGGGAACCCCATGTCAACGTCAGCAGATCCTGTAGATGCAAGTTCGTGCTTTATTCTCGATTTTACTTACTACGCACTACACCCATCCAGTCGATCTATTCAGTCCAGACGGCGAGCAAGTAGCAAATAAATTGTGGCAGTGTTTCATTCAAATCATTTTTAATAGTTCGGATATGGCTTGCGGGCTGGATGTCGCCGATTTATTTCGCAGGTTAGATCTACGGGACAGTAAAGGTAAGTATGCGAAAGGTTGATAAGTGATAAAGTTTAAAATAATCATTGTCGATGTATGTACCTATCTACAGGTAATGCAAAAATGTTTCAATCCATGCACAACCGCGGACATACGGGGTGTTCCGTACTTAAATAGACAGCAAGATGGTAAACAGTTTTAAATTCAGTTTTTACGCATATAAAGAGGCTTTGAAATTATTACGTCACCTTAGAGCAGAACTATTCCATGTCACAAATTTATAAATTTTGTTGTTTTATATTCTATACGGCGTATTGAAGGAGAATATCGAAGACGACCCATTAAAAATGTAGTCCAAGTCTTACCCTTCTAATATCCCTGTTGCACTAACCTGTGTTTATTATCTGCGTAAGGCTGCAATTGGATGTTTTGGCCATGGTATAGTTTCAGCTCTAATGGGACGATTCAGATTGTCATTTGTTTAGCACACCAGATTTATCCCAAAATCAGGTTTATTTTTTCCTGACTTTGAGATGAGATTTCAAAATAAATTGCATGTTGTCATTGTTATTTATTGTCCTCTACAAGATGGTGTAGAGTGAATGTGCCAGTGGTCGTACAGTTTAGACAAAAGTGGAATACAAAGTGTAATTTCGAATTTTGTGCGTAACAGAAGTTGAAACGCATCGAATTTTGATCTGACGATCTAATTTTTTTAAAAATTGGTAGTTTTAGGTTCGACTACCGCGGATCTGTTGATGATATCCGCGATGTTGCCAAATCTACAGTTTTTCAGACACTGATAGTAACTTTTCTTTTTGTTATGGAATGCTATACATTTCATTCGATATTTGTATTCTGCGAGAAATTCTAAATACTTTTTATAAAAAAATCAATGAGTGATTCGATGCGTTCCAAACTTTTGTTACAGTCTGTATATGTTGTTTACTTTTTGCCAACAAGGAATACACTGCTTAAAGATATTCCTGTAATTTTATAGAAAAATATTAATCAAAAAGGTACTCGGACAAAAGGTGCTACTAGTTGGCCGGCTAGTTTACAATTGTCGGACAGCATCTGATTGGCCACTTTTAGACAGAACCGTATTTAAAAATTTGTGATAGAATCGAAATTTCAAATCAGCTGTCATTAAGACTTTGAGGACAAGAAATTAACACACTCATACTGAGTCTATTTTGCCTGCATACAACAATGAATAAAAAGGTTAATGGATAGGGTCAAGTGGTGCAAAAATGAGACAGCCGAAATTTCGGTCAAAAACAAGACATTCAATTTTTCCCAATGCAAAAAACAATAACATTGTAAAAAATACGTTACAAATTACTTCCACGTATATACAATTGAAATATGTAATGAATAATAAATAAACGTAAACACAAACATCGAGAAAAAAACTATCGCATCTGATTGTGCATTTTGCTTAAAAAATCTTTTAAATTGTATTTACAAACTTTTCCTGTTGCGCCGCTGGGCACGTCGTGAATAACAGGTGCAAAAACGAGACAGCTTTTATACCTTTGATAATAATGCCGAAGGTTTACGTTCCCAAAAAGCGCCCCTACGACAAAAAGAACATGGAAACAGCCCTAAAACTGATAGATAATGGCACTTTATCTCTTAGAAATGCAGCTAAACAGTTTAAAATTGACAAATCTGCTCTTTCGAGAAGACGTACTCGTTCACTTGGTAAACAGGGAAGAAAAACTTCTCTAACCAAAGAAATGGAAGTAGACTTAAGTGATAAGATAAAAATTATGGCAAAATGGGGGTTTGCTCTTACTAAACCAGAGATACAAGCAATAGTTCAAACCTTTGTACAAGAAAACCACCTTACTACCCAGTTTAAGGAAGGAAAGCCCGGGAAAGACTGGTTTAAAAATTTTTGTAAGCGCAATAGACTGAATCAAAAAACGCAAAAAACGCAAGTTTAATACGTGGACAAATCCTTAAAGTTTTTGAGAGCGAAGTAGAAGTAAAATATCTGAGGCTCAAAGAATTTAAATTTATTTTTCCGGCCATTGAGAAAAAGTACTTCATCGACAAAAGTGACATAGAAATGAAACTTCCCCAGCCAGAAATAGAAAGTAAGACTTGGTTTCCTATCGACTTTGAAAAATATGTCGTTCAAAAATATGTAGTACAAAATATACTAAGTGACATATAAATCCGAACACCCAGTTTAAATGGTTTTATTTTAATAAAATTTTGTATAAGTACTTAATGAAGCATAATAAGTAAATGATAAAAATTTCAAAATGATTGCACTGCTTTAAAGCCCTTTGACCTTTAATAATGTGTGGATGCACCCTGATGTGCTACGCATTCTCCAACGCGCCTAGGCATGCTTCTGATCAGGTGGTCAATGTCCTCCTGTGGTATCTCATTTCAGGCAACCACCAACTCCTCTCGAAGTGCTTCTAGAGTCTGAGGAGGACGTTGCAAATTGAGCAATCTCCTACCATCATATCCCACACTTGCTCAATTGGGGATAAGTCGGGAGATCTTGGTGGCCATGGTAACAATGTGACATCATTATGTTGAAAGAAGTCTATTGTGACTCTTGCAACATGTGGTCGGGCATTATCTTGTTGGAAAGTTGGATCTGCTAGGGTGTCAAGATGGGGTTCTAGAACTTCGTGGATATACCGCTGCGCGTTCATGTTACCTCTGATGAAGATTAAAGGTGACCTGGAACCATAAGCTATAGCACCCCAAACTATAACTCCAACAGTGTGATGAACATGTCTTTCAACAAAAAACTGTGGATTCCTCCTTTCACCACGTCGCCTTCTAACCCTGGCACGACCATCGTGCATGCCTAAACAAAATCGAGACTCGTCACAAAAGACAATACTGTTCCATTCCTAATCCCAGAGTGACCGTTGTCTGTACCACTCAAGGCGATTACGTCGGTGTTCTCGAGTTAAAGGGAGGACCCAGTGTGGCCGGTATGAAAACAAGCCAAAACTTCTCATTCGTCGGTAAACACTTCGCATGCCAATAGGTCTTCCGTGTTCTGCAAACCATTCATTTGCAATGGACCTGGTAGTGGAGAAACGGCCCCTTAAGGCCAATAATCTTAGGCGGCGATCTTCACGGTCTGTTGTTCTACGGCGGCGTCCAGTGCCCCTTGCTCTTTGCGTACGGCCTTCTCGAAGCCATGCCTGACAACACCTAACCACAGTGTCTACACTTCTTTGCACTCTAACTGCAATTGCCCGAACAGAAAGTCCACCTTTCCGAAGTCCCACTATACGGCCCCTATCAAACTCACTAAGTTGACGAAATCGTACAGGTGTCCGTACTCTAGGCATCGTAACCGATCGTAAAGGATGTCAAGAACCAAAATCCGCCAACGTTGATTCTTTACTGCGGCTGAAATATTCATTTTTAGAGCGTTAGTGAATTAAAAAAAAGCAGTCTAAAAACCGGAATGTCCAACTGATAAGGCTGAAAATGTTTTCACTTGTTATTTACAGTAAGATAAATACATTCACCAACTTTTATTAAAATAAAACCATTTAAACTGGGTGTTCGGATTTATATGTCACTTAGTATACGTTAGAATAATAAGTTTTCTACTTTAGCTCTTAAAATCCTATTGAAAATCTTGTTTTACCCCTTTTTTGAATTAGGTATGGTTTATTTAACTTGTTTTTAGATTTGTTTTCTTTTTAGTTTAATAAACATAGTTTTGTATTTAATTATGTGAGTTTTCTTTAAGAACGTTGTCACAATTTAAAACCTAACTATGTTATTTGACTTACTAAACGCTTTAAAACCCTTGCAGTGTGTCTCGTTTTTATTCCCCAGGGTCTCATATTTTGCCACACTGATGTAAAATGACTAAAAGGCCAGAAAATACAGTGTCTTGTTTTTAACCTCTCACTGTCATTTTTAGCCTAAATAGTGGTTAAAAACGAGACACGGTTTTTTAACAAAAACGCCCTTCATTATGAATATTATGAACTTTTTTTAACGTGAGGTATACTACATGGCTTTCTATATACAGGGCAATATAACAAAGCCTTAAAGTCCGGTTTTTTGTTGACAAAAAATTAAAAGATTTAAAAATCGTCTCGTTTTTGCACCACTTGACCCTACCGGTTTTAGACATTTGCTAAAATAAAAAGCTATTACAACAGGTACAAAGTTGTAATTTGGACACAAAAGACTGCTGCACCTATTTTTTTTTACTTGCATTTCGCAAGTATTATGACTTAAATGACAAAAGTTGGAATTATTCAGTTTTTAATAGAAAGAACCTACAGTATATTCAGATAAGAGATAGACCGGACATAAACAAGACCACGTGATCATCGAACGCTGTAACATTCGGCAGGGACGTATTAAGAGTCACGCAGTACATATTTTAGATAGTAGATGCTGCTTTGCGTAACTTTGTAGTAAATTAGCACAATTCGATGTGTATACGATTGGTGATGGATATAGGATCATGTGGGGGTGGGGTAAGAAATATATAATGATGCAAATATACATAAGGGTTTCAAAATTTTCGCTTCGATTTCCAGCTTCGGATGCCGCCTGATGTTTGGTGAAATACAGTCGAATATAATCTCAAAATGGCGTTTAAATTAGCCTAAATAAAAAATAATCGTATATCTCTTAAAATTGCTTTTAGAATATTGATTAGTATATTTTTTGATTTCTAGGTAAATATGTAACCAAATTAAAACGTTCAAAACGTAAAAAAATGTGCATGGTTGAACATTGTCTGAAAGTAGATTCTTGAATAGGTTTTGCCAAAATGGGTTCAAAAATGTCAATAATTAATTAAAAAATACAGTAGCTTTATAATTACTTATAACTTACCGAATTTGATGAACGACATCTTTTATTGGAAAGATGAGCTTGATGAGCTTTCATCATCGCTACTGCCTGAAGCACCAACGTCAATAATGAATGGCTCGACTTGTTCCTCTAAAATATTGTCCAGTTCCCAGATTCACTTTTCAACTTTGTCTTTCGCGTGCTTAATACAGTTTTCCCATTTTTGCGCTGTTATTAATTCTAGTGCTTCTTTGAAAAGTCCTTTGAGGTCACAAAATTTAAAAGTTGTATTGTGCTTAGCTATATAATTTTTAACCTCTGCCCATATGAGCTCAATGGGATTGAGCTCGCAATGGTATGGAGGTAAACGGAGCACAGTTTTATTTTGACTTGCTGCCATTTCGTCAATGGCGTATTTTTGATATTCCGCCTTGTGATCCTTGACAATTCTTAATAATTGTACTTTCAGCATTGCTTCTTCAAAGTTGATATTTTTCGAGCGGAGCCAATTTTGAACATCAACTTTCCTTGAAGCCGTTGTTGGGACCTTCTCCATTCTTCGAGAATGATAAGGCGCATTATCCAACACAATTACTGCGTTTTCCTCTAAGTTCGGTAAAATTTTTGAAAACCACTGTTCAAACGATTCGCCATTCATTTCCTCGTGGTAATCTCCAGTTTTCTTAGACTCAAAGCACCACAGACCGTCAACAACAAATCCATCCTCACTGCCAATATGAGCCTTTTTCCTTTACCTGGAAATCGAAGTACTAACTGGTGTAGATTTATTTCAATAAGCGAACCTTTTTCAAATGTTTTCATCACATTCAGCGAAAAAACATTGAGACATGAGTATCAGATTGCTATAATTGGGATTATTTAGTCATATTGAAAGAAAGAATATTGAACGTCGTATGATTACTCAGCGCTTCACAATTTAATTTAAAGTTATAAACCTTTAAAAAATGAATGATTAGGAACCTGAAATACGCGCAAATATTAATATTAACAAATTATAACTTTATAAAGCTTAAAGTATGAATTAAAATGATTAGAAATATTAGGAACGGTACACAATATAAAACTTAGTAACTTTTTTTAAGTTTATAATATTCGACATATTTTAAGATTATATTAAAAAATTATTGAAATATCGAAAACACATAAAAACATGGCTTAAAAAGTTCTAACAAATGAAAATGACAATAAAACATCCACGCATTTTATCGAAAGTTATAAAAGTTTTGTTACTTGTAATATGTTTTATCTGCCCCCTGGAGTTAATGTTTAGAACATTGTTCCCAAGGTTTGAAAAACATCCGATTGTTGTCTATTACTCGTATTTACCTGCTGGATTTTTTAATCCGGTGGACAGTCCATCTAGAAAGGCCCTCCTGGATGAAGTTACAGAATCATCAACCCATACTTTACTTGTAGTGTGTCCTGCGTTTACCCACGTTTCATCAAGGTAATAAATCTTCCTGTTTTGATTTCTATATTTCCCAATTTTTGTTAAATAATCCCTCCTCCATAGCACAATTTCTTCTCTATCCAGTAGTAAACTATTACGACCCCGTTTTTTCCATTTGAAATTTAAATGCTTCAGTAACGCATGGAAAGTTGATCGTTTGAAATTTGGCAACGTTGTATCTCTATTTACCTCCTGCAGTACTTTATCTATAGTAGGTATTTCATTCCTAAAGAAGAATTCATGCACTTTCCTCCTAATCGCATGCTTATCAGCTTCCTCCAATTATTTAACAATACTTTTGCGATGTTTACTGGTCATTGGCTCAGAAAAGGTGTGATTTTTTTTGTATTGTCTTAACACATTAAACACTGATGCGCGACACACCCCAACTTTGTGAGAAACCTTCACAACAATTTCTTTGATGGTTGATGCCTCGTTCTCCTCGCGCTCGATCTTATGTATATTCAAAATGACCTCTTTCATTTCTGCACTCAGGTGTCTTTTTTAGAGCGTTTCCTAGGTGGACTACAGGAGTTTACAACTTCATCGGCAGTATCTGTACTACTGGACATTTTGCGCAAGCAGTTGATAACAATAACAATCAATAACAAGGTATAACAATAACAACGACAAACTCAACAACTTAATAAGATAACAAACGAAAACGTCCAAAGAAATATCAAATTGCAATGATGCACAGTTGCACACGACATACGTAACACGTCTGAACCTGAATGTGACTCTGCCTTGATACGACTGCTCTGCCGCTCGGCATAGGCATTTAATTGCGAATTGACCAATGAGGGTTCCTGTTTTACGTCGAGACGGCGGCGTTAGCGTGAAAATCACCCGAACCTTTTGTTTACATCCGGTCTATCTCTTATCTGAATATACTGTATGTAAATGTAGCAATTTAGTTTTTTTTAGCCTACCGTGCTAGTTTTCAACGAAATGAATACTCGGTTGTCTCAACCAACTATTAATTGTATCCCAGGAAAAAAATCATTATTTAGAAGTTCTTTATAGCCATAACAGGCAAATTGGACACAATATCACTGGCCATAATCCATATTATTTGTTATCTTTCGCTGTCCGTCCACTGGCTGGGGCTTCAGTCATACATATTTTGGTTTGTTTAATTCCAAAAGAAAAGTTTGATACTTTCTACCTAACCTATTGTAGAAGCCTGTGCACATAACAACAACGTAACAAACAAGAAAAGGGATGGAATTTATAAAATCTTTAGTGCGATGGATTGGAATAGATCGAGAGCAATGAAGTAATATTTTAAGGATTGTTTTTTGAAGGTGATACTCAATAAATTATTTGTTTTTTACTATACAGATTTCGTTATTAAAATCCGCAGAGATGTCACGATAGTAGAGGAAATCATTTTCGCAGCTGGTAAGATCGGTTATCGCACCTATGACTTCGATTTTTCCAAGCCGTACACCACAAAGGACGTCACTCGCAATGTTGGTGCTCGTGCCCGTTTTTCCGGATTACCGTAAGTTAATATTTTAAAAAATACGCATGATATGACTGAAAAATAATACAGGAATTCTCGAATATAATTATTACGGGAGAAATTCTCAAACATAAGCTGAAATAACATGAGACCTGACAAAGTCTACTAACTCCCTTTCTATAGGCATTGCTTCTAGATATCAGCTTATTTCTCAAAAACGGCGGAATGGATGACAGTAAAAGCCTGTGGGTGTAAGTAACTAGGTGTACCTCACACAGTTCATTTACTCTCAACCACCTCATGTCATTGAAAAAGGGCTGATATGATCACATTTTTTCAAATTATTGATCAACCTACAACATGAGTTTTGGATTTTTTGGAGACGTGCTAGAGATATTAAGTCAAGAAATGTAAGATAAACTAAATCGCAATAACTAATTTTGGACATTACCAAAGATTCACACAAAATTTTTTTAGTTGTAGAGTCAAGAAATTGTTTATTAAGATATAATTGACGTAAAATTGAAAAACAACTCTTACTTATATTATCTACATGTGGTATAAAATTTAGACATTCATCTAAAGTTACGCCCAAGTTTTTCACTGACTCACTTACTTCTATAGTCTCACCATTTAATTTTACTTTAAAATTTCTTTTGGCATCACGTCTAAATAGTTTTGGTGAAAAAATTATGGCTTTAGATTTTAAAGGGTTCAATTGAAGGTTATGATTTTTTGCATACATACTTATAGCTGTTATATCTTCATTTACCTCAGATTCAGCATTTCGAATGTCGTGATTATGGAAATGACTGTAGATCTGTGAATCGTCGGCAAAAAATTGGATATCACAATATTTAGCAACTGAATGGAGATCAGAAATATACAAAATGAATAAGAGTGGCCCAAGTACAGACCCTTGAGGCACTCCGGAGGAAATGAGGCACTTTGAAGATAGAACCATGTGAATGTGTACCCTTTGATATCGATTTCCTAAGAAGCTCTGAATCATTTTTGAGGCAGAGTCAGAAAAACCAAAATATTTGCACTTGGCTACTAGAAGACGATGATTTATGATATCGAATGCCTTAGAGATGTCAAGAAGAACTAATGATGTGATCATATGTTGATCCCACTCCCTAACAATGTTAACGGTTAAGTCCAGTAGGGAACCTGCAGTGTTATATCCTTTTCGATAACCGCATTGTTTGGGAGGCAAAATTTTATGTTTAGAGAGATAATCGTAAATTTGGGCGTACATTGCTTTTTCTAATAATTTGGACAAAACATTTAAAATACTAATTGGTCTTAAATCAGAATATAATTTTGGCTTACTTATTTTAGCTAGAGGTAACACTAATGCTTCTTTCCATGATTCTGGAAAGAATCCCCTTTCTAAGGTATTTATGATGTGTAATATGTGACATGAAATCGCAAAGAAGCATAGTTTTAGCATTCTGAGTGACACGCCAGGGCTTTCTAAGGCATTCGATTTCAGAGACTGGAACATCGATTTTAAATCAGTCATATCGATTGGTTTAAACTTGAATCGATCACTAGAATAGTGATTCTTTATTAATGCTCAATCTTCTCTGTGCATCAACAAATGATGTTATTAAAAATGGAACAGAAATAATTATTAATGTCAGTAGGGTTCTTTAAATGTAGAGGAATATCGGTATTTTGTGACTGTTGGATACGCATTCATTTTAAGGATCTATAAAACATTTTTGAATCATTTTGTTGATGCAGCGATAATAAATATGCTGCTTTTTCATATCTAATTTGACTTAAAGTTGAATTCGTGAGCTCTTTGTAGCGATTCCAGGAATCTTCCGTCTTATTAATTTTAAACTGATTTAAAGCTCTGCCTTTCATCATACGTTTAAGCTGGGGTGATAGCCAGGGTGCATGCAGTTTATTTACACGTACAATTCTTAGAGGTGCATGCTTATCAAAAATTAATTTTAGTCAAATATGAAATTTTGTGATCAATACTCTCTATGGAATATATAATGCTCCAGGGAAAGTTTAAAATATCATTTTATCAAAATTTTTGAAAGTCTCTGAATTTAACGAATTTTTGCTTAGGTTTTTGAGACTGCAAAGTTGTTTTACATAATACTAAAAAATGATCGGAAAATAAATCCATATTTATAGTCCCAGAATTTGAACAGACTTGAAGATCATTGATAAATATGGGATCCAGTAGGCTGCTCGAAGTACTAGATATTCTAGAGGGGTCTATAATAACTTGATGGAATCCATACGCATTAAAACAATTTTCCAATTTGTTGTCTGAACTTGAAAGATTTATATTCATATCTCCAACAACTACAACATAATCAAAGTTGGGTACCAGAAAAGAGAGAGCATTATCAAAAAAATCAATGGCTTCATCAACATTGTTATGGGGAGGTCGGTAAATTACCCCAAAGGCAAGAGTTTGATCACATAATTTGAATTTAATCCACATATTCTCAATACTAGGAAAGTAGCCAATATGGTTCTCAATCTGTAATTCCTCACAGAGCAAACCATTTCTCACGTAAATGCCCACGCCTTCACCGCAACTCTCCCTATCTTTACGATAGAATGTAAGGGTGTCTCAGAAATATTTTCGTTTTTAGATCAGTCCTCTGGCGGAATACGCATGCTCCGGAGAAACGAGACAGTTGACAAACGTTTGGCAACATTGTTAAATTTTAGTTGCAATGGAGCGTTTTACAGGGCCGCAACGTGCTTTTTGTGTTCGCGAGTTCTACAAAAACAAGGATTCTTATGTGCTTGTACGTCGTTTGTACAGAAATCATTATAACATAGCAAGAATGAGAGATGTCCCAAGCGCAAATTTAATTAAATATTGGGTAAGAAAGTTCGAGAGCACTGGAAACACGTGTATTAGTAAACCGCCTGGACGGCCAAGGTCAGCAAGATCGAACGAAAATATTGAACGTGTGCGCCAGTCCGTTAACGAGGATCCCCGGCAATCATTAAGACTGCGTGGAGCGTCTCTAACTTTGCATAAGTCAACTGTTCATCGCATTATTCGCAAGGATTTGCATTTTCACCCATACAAGATTGTTGTTACACAACAATTAAAACCACAAGATCCCGCTAATCGATTAGAGTTCTGTAGAACAATGAGAGAGCATTTTAACGGTTACAACAACATATGGTTTTCTGATGAATCGAATTTTCACATTAACGGGCATGTTAATTAACAAAATTGCCGATATTGGGCCGAGCAGAACCCGCAAAATCTTCATGAGACGCCATTACACTCGCCTAAAGTTATCGTCTGGGCTGCTATGTCAGGGCAAGGAATCATTGGCCCGTATTTTTTGAAGACAATCGTGGCCAAGCTCAAACTGTAACATCTGAGCGCTACTGCCACATGATTAGGACTTTTTTAACTCCAGCTATACAGAACCATGGTGCTACAATAGAGACACGTTTTTCCAGCAAGATGGAGCGACTTCTCAGGTCACGAATGAATCCTTGGATGCTCTTCATCAGTTATTCCCAGAGAGGGTCATCAGTCGCAGAGGAGACATTAACTGGCCACCGAGAAGTCCCGATTTGACACCAGCAGATTTTTTCTTATGGGGATACCTGAAGAGTAAGGTATACACCCCACCGCCACAAGATTTGAGAGAGTTGAAGCAAAAAATAACAGATGAAATAAACGCCATTCCTCGAGCAATGCTTCGGAGAGTGACCGAAAACTTCAGTTCGAGATTAAGAGAGTGTGAAAACATGAACGGTGCTCATTTATCCGATACTCTTTTCCATAAATAAAATTAATGTTTAGGCTTTCGTTTGGTAATAAATTTATCTTTGTAAAAATATTCTAAGTATTTTTATTTATGGCATAAAATAAGAAAATATTTATGAGACACCCTTTATATACAAAAGACTATCTAAGATGTTTTTATTGAGCCATGTTTCGGATAGAGCTAAAATATCATAATCAGAATTTTCCAACATGTAGGCAAAACCACATAGAGAAGGTAATAGAGACCGAATATTTAAGTGACCAAATTTAAAAGGTTTGTTTTCTGTCATAATTCAGAATTAAATTTTCTCAAAATAAAACTCGTGCTATGTGTTGTTGTTGGAAGAATTTGAAAGTAGGTCATTTTTTATCAGTTGGATCATGATTCGTATCAAATTGTTTGTTGTACTTGTGGTTGGCAGACACACAGTTAAAACATTTGGTGGTTGATTGATTGCAGGAGGAAATGTCACGGTTTTCTCCACATTTTGAACATACTTTACAATTTTGACATTTTTTCGTTGAATGATTAAACCTTAAGCAATTTTTACATTGTGATGCTATATTGTTGTCATAAACGATAATATTTTCAAATCCTAATAAAATTATTCCATTGTTGTTATTCAAAATTTATCTAAATAATTTACCCGTTAGCCACAAAGTGATTTTGTTTTATAATTTATTCTTGTACTTCTCTTTCGGTAATTTTTTCCTCCGAAGGATAACCAACTATTTTAATTTTTGGCTTGAACATTCTTGGTTCAGATATCTTGTAGGATGTAGGCATATTTTTTTCGATTTCTTGTTCAAGTTGAACGTTTATTTCTACAGTTGTTAGTAATATGGATGAAAAACTAAACATCCAGTAGGTATATACATTTTTTCATGTAATTAAAAATAATTCGAGTAAAACCGACGACAAGCATTCTTATAATTATATTTGCACACATTAAACTATAAATATCTGGCAAAAATTAAATATTGTACATAAAAGATATTTTTTTAATTTTTCGGGTAGTATTTTCTTACTTCACGCACAAGCAGTAATGTCACAACAAAGATGTATCTGAACGACCTTGAAACCGTCTTTCAAGCTTTGAAATATGCAAATCCTTTGCCATTTTTATTCATTGCCTTTACAAAATTCTTCATTAGGCCGAGTTTTTTTTATGTAGGGAAGGCAGTTACTCTTCCTCAAAAAGTTATCTCAAAAAAAATAATTCGGATTAACCGTTACTTCTTACAGAAACACTGCACATAACTGATATGTTAGCTCAGGCCACAGAGACAAAAATTGGTATTTCGTGTAAAACAGTTTAGCAGATATCTGAAAGTTTTAAATGAAAGGTGGACATTTATAATGACAAATACATAAAAACATACAGCCAGATATGCGTTGTTTTTTCATAAACAATGGGAAAATCACAAAATTCAGTATTTTGCTCGTATACTTTTCAAATTAAATTTTAAAAATAATCGGTAAACTGGAGATTTTAGAGCACAAAAAGAACTTCAATTTATTTTTTTAATAATTAAAATCGATAATCAATTAAGCCAAATACGGGGCTTTTAGCAATATTAAATAAATTGTTCATCATTATTGCAATAATAATTGTAAATGGCTAAAAATTTGTGAGAATTAGGACATCATTGCACCCTGGGCAATTATCTTCTCAACATACTGTATGAATTTCATTCAAAAATATTGAAAAATGGAGTGTCAGTTTTGAAGCAGCTGAACCCTTGTAAATGGCTTGAAACTCACTGCGTCGGAGCCGCCTTAAGCAACGTAGAACCTTCTTTTTTCAATTTGGGATAACTCGTCGAAATAGTGACATCTGGCACATTTTTATTTTCCTGGAAAATCGGGATATCCCAGAAAACTTAACACCTTATATTCTTCAAATTGAATTACTATGAAATAATAATAAAATAACATTAAATCGTTTACTTTACTCTCACTGTAATAAAATATATTTTTCAATACTGATAAAAAGCCCCTTGTTTAACTTAATTGTTTATCAATTTTAATTCTCAAAAAACAAAATTGATGGTCTACTCGTATCTCCAGTTTACCGATGATTTATAAAATTTAATTAAAACATTATACAAGCCAAATACTGAATTTTGGGCGTTCCCATTGTTTATAAAAAAACAACGCATATCTGGCTGTATCTCTTTTTGTATTTGTCATTAGAAACCATTTAAAACTTTCAGATATCTACTAAACTTTTTTCCACCTTTTTTTATCTAGCCTGGACTATGTGTACACTGATTTGGAATTGCGTCAAACAATACAGATTTGAAAATCTTTGTCTTAATATCGGACTAATTACGGCAATCATGCCAAGCAGCTTTATTTTGCTTAATTTTTTTTTCCAGTCATATTCTTTACATACTGAGGATTCAAAACCCATATCTATATGCTGCGTTCCTGCTGAAAAAGCAACAGAAAGGTGGCACCGCCACTGTGGAAAAGTTATTCCATGGTACCAGAATAGAAAATGTCGAGCCGATTTGTACAAACAACTTGAATTACCGCTTGAGAGGGAGGTATGGACATTTGGGAAATAAATATGGTAACGGGGTGTCGTTTTCTCCATCTATAGAGTATGCCAAAATGTTTCCAAGAAGAGTTTATGACAAGAAAGCTATGTTTATCGTCAGAGTAATGAAACAAGGGCATTGCACAGGATCCTTGGGGTTAGAAATCCCACCAACTGGTATGGATACAAGTATAAGCAGAGATGGAAACGTGTGGGTGAAATATTGTGATAATGAATTTTATCCAGCTTATGTCGCCTATTATTCGTCATAGGACCGGCGCCCTCCTATCGGTATGTTTTTCTAAAACCGATGTATATTTTCCTATTTTAGTGCTGTCCCAAAATGTCAATGGCCACAAAGCTTGAGAGACTCATCTTCAAAGATTTACATAACCTCAAAGGTGTACATTTTGACTGACCAGAGTATGTATGGTATATATTATGCACTTGCTGACGATCGAAACTAGCTTGGTGTTAACCTCTTTGACAGGTAAGTCAAAAAACGGTAGATGACAGTTGAGTTGAGACCATGAGATACATAGGAACACTTGAGTACGTACTAGTAATTATCGTGCGTTTTCGGTATATATGATATAATCCAGTAGGAATATCGGCCTCCTTGATTTTCAAGGTATTTTCTCTACTTCAGAGAGGCTAGGGTATTTCTAGGTTTCAACTGTTCTGTCAGCGCTTTCCTATTGTGTTTTATTTTCGAATCTAGAGAAATTTCATGCAGATTTATAACAGATGATAAAAGTAAAGTTTTATCACCCTGAAATTTCTTAGGATTCAAAAAGAAAATATAACCTCAAAATAGAGCGCTGATACGAAACAGTATAAATCTAGAAATACCCCTGCCTTTCTGAAGGCTAGGAAAAACTATAAAAATCATGTCCCTTTTTTCGTACAGGCTGTCTGGAGGAGTGAATACTTATGCTCATCTGGTTGTTTCAGGCTAAAATTAATTAAGAGATTGGTTCTTGTTGAAAAATTGTAATTTTGCTTGAACCTAGAGTCACACGATTTAAGCCACGGTCTTGTACTCTTGTGCTCGACTGTATAGTGCCGGCTTACCTGTCTTAGAGTCTAAGACCCAGCTAGTTTGTACACTACACACTACATAAATATATGGTGGATAATCTAAATGTCTGCCCTACATCAATTTCTCTGCGTCAACACTGTACACATTTGAGGCTTGATCAATCTTGAAGATGACACTCTCAAGCTTTGTGCCTATTGACACGTTTGATGAAGATGGAAATAAGAATTTGATTCTTACGTTTTGTGGAAAATTCATCGAAACCCATAGTTACCTGAAAAGAATTTTTGTTCAATCCTTTACTGTCCAAACAATAGATATTGATTTGTAAAATTTGTTATTGCCTCTCTATTTAGGTTTGTGGAACTTGTCAACTATGGTAATACTATATTTATTTTTCATTATACCAAAAAATATGTTTTGTATGACGATACCATCCACCTTGATTTTCTTATGTTTTATTCCTTTAGTTATGTTGTATATTTAAAAAGCGTTTATAAATTTTCCTAACTCATACAAGCCCCTAGGGTCACATGGGAAGGACTAACGTCATTAGGTTGAGTACAATTAAGTTTATATAACCTTATAAGGCCGACATTATAAACAATGTTCTTACTTAATCCAGTATTATATGTTTAAACGAAAAAAGTAGATTTTTTTATTATCCTTTTAAATTTATGTATCAACCACTTTATTTACATGCGTATTGAGTTATGTAAAATTAAATTTTAATTTAATTTTTAATACAATATTTAAGTTGTTTTCTATATGTATTTATTCAATGCATTATTGGAATGTTAATTGTTAAAAGCGTTTATAAAGTCTCCTAACTCATACAACCCAGCTTAGACAAACCTAATGTCACATAGGAAGTGCTACGTCATTAGGTTGAGTACAATTAAGTTTAGGTGACTTTATAAAGCAGACATTGCACAAAGTGATCTTATTTACTCCAGTATTATATGTTTAAACGATAAGAGAATTATTTTTTTATACCTTTATATATATATATATATATATATATATACAGTAATACCCCGGACTTACGCGATAGGTGGGTCCGAACGGTTGCCGTGTAAGTCGAATTCGCGTAAGTCGGGGTTCAATGTTGCATATAAATATGTACATATAAAGTTTGTTTAATCGGGACCAGAGTTTAAAGAAAACAATAATTTAGAAGAAAAATGTTTAATAAAGTGTAGGATAATAAAAAAAATTACATTGTTATGAATAAAGTAAGCTAAACCGAAGTTATTTTGATGTCGAAGGCTTTATATATTCTAACAATGTTGCCTGACGAGTTAAATTTTTCTTCTTTTCACGTAAAATTTCCTCGTAGCATACCAGTAATTTTTTTATCCCTCGTTTTGTAGTAGACACGCGTTCTTCATTAGAATCAATTTTTTCTAAAATTTGTAACCCCTTTTCAATTGAATTGAGTCCTTCTGTTAAGTTTGCAATTGTCATTTGATTTACCGATTCAACTGGGTCTAGCGAATCAGTTTGTTCAATGTCTTGCTCATACTTACGCATTTCTATAACCTCGTCAATTGTTAGCTCTTGATTGTGTGAATCTAGCAATTCTTGAACGTCATCATTATCGACCTCTAAATTTAATTGCTTGGCGATATCGACCACTTCTTCTATTATGCTATCGATTTGTTCAGGATCTGAAATGGTTTCTCCTTGAGTTTCAGAGGTGAAAAAAAATGGACACAGTTTTTTCCAGACACCATTGAGAGTTTTTTGTGAAACCTCATTCCAAGATTGTCCAATAATTCTTACAGCATCTAAAACATTGAATTGCTTCCAAAAGTCTTTAACAGAAAGCTCATTGTTTTGTCTCATAGCTTCATGTAGATGTGCAAATGACCGCCTTGTGTAGTAAGCTTTAAATGTTTTAATGACTCCCTGGTCCATTGGTTGAAGCAAGCTGGTAGTGTTTGGTGGCAAAAATACAACTTCCACACGTGGATCGAAATTAATTAGAGTTGCGGGAGGATGACCTGGTGCATTGTCAATTAGTAGCATCACTTTAAATGGGATTTCTTTTAATCGGCAGTAACGTTCGACTTCAGGAATAAAATGATGGCCAAACCAGTCTTCAAAAAGAGAAGCTGTCACCCAAGCTTTCGCATTAGACTTCCAAATGACAGGCAAACCAGCTTTGGATTTATTTTTTAAGGCCCTTGGATTTTCTGAGCGATAAACTAAGAGAGGTTTTAATTTACAATCTCCAGCTGCATTCGCACCAACCATCACTGTTAATCGATCCTTGGCGGCTTTAAAACCTGGAAAAGTTTTCTCTTCACGCGCAATAAAAGTTCTTTTAGGCATTTTCTTCCAAAAAAGACCTGTTTCATCTACGTTGAAAATAGTTTGGCTAGTGTAGCCACCTTCATCTATCATTGTTTTGAGTTTTTCTGGATAGAGAGATGCAGCTTCTTTATCAGCGCTTGCCGCTTCTCCACTCTCTGCGATGCTATGCCAATTACAACGACTCTTAAATCGGCTGAACCAGCCGTTACTAGCTTTAAACACTTCATTTTCAGCCGCCTCCCCAGCTTCTTCTTTTAGTTTTTCAAAAATCTGCTTTGCTTGAAAGCACACTGTATTTTGATCAACAGGACAATTTTTCACTCTTACTTGATTATCACACCATGACTGTAGCAATGTTTCCATCTGTGCGATAATACCGTGACGCTTACGGATGATACTTGAATTCAAAGATTGAGAGTCTTTCACAGCGTTCATAATTTTTTCTTTACCTTTTACAACCGTTCGGACTGTTGATTCCGGAAGGTCAAATTTCTTCGCCAATTCACAAATTTTCATTTTTGCTTCAAAGTCTTTAATTATATTCAGTTTACACTCCAAAGACAGTGTTTTTCTTTTCTTGTTAGGCTCAAATGACTCATTTTTTGTTCTTTTAGACGACATAATTAGAGATTATAAGTAAAACGCACTGCGCACGTAAAACAATTGCACGCGAAACACGTTTAAACCTGATGCAAATTGAACACTGAGTGGGCGGAGCGAGAGAGCCGATGCGCGCGCGGAGCGAGAGAGCCGATGCGCGCGCGGAGCGAGAGAGCCGATGCGCGCTGCGCGCGGCAATCAAAATGAAAAACCGCGTATCTCCGAATTCGCGTAAAACGGGGTAGCGTAAGTCGGGGTATTACTGTATATATATATATCAACCACATTATTTATTATGTAAAATTAATCTTTAATACAATATTCAAGCTGTTATTCAAGCTGTTTTATTTAATCAATGCATTATTGGGATGTTATTTTTTTATTGAATTATACTTTCAGATTTTATCTTTCAGCAATCTATCAATTATGTAAATTTAGCGCTCTCAAATCTGTTATTCATCAAAGCCAGTATACAGCCTATTTCAAGGTTTTGACGTCTACTGAATTGAACAACTGATCAGCAAGTGACATCTTTGTGTTAGTAACATTGGTACGGGTATCACGTATCTTGAAAAGTGACATTATGCCGATTTTTTTGACATTATCTAGGTTTTTCTACACGATGTTAACTTAACACTTAGTTGTACGTGTTGCTTAAACGTCATGAATCTTGTTATCAATCTTTGGCTCTGATGTGATGTAAAATCTGCTTCTGAGATGGCATTACTGGAGGTCTAAGCTTTATGTTGTATGTGTTGATGATAATTTCATACAATACATTTAATTGAGAAGCTAGAAGTTAGTTACGGATCCACTTTTTCTTATCCATTCTGGAAATTACATATACAAATTATCTGAATTTCAAAAATGAGAGAGATAAGAAATAATTAATTACACACAACGCGGGCGCAGTGATGATTTCCCGTAATTCTCCTCAGTTTTTCGTTATTTATAACTTTCAGTAATGATTCTCTCAGACAGCAAATATCACTGATTTTATACACATGCAGACCAATACACATGATCATCCAGATGCGATCTTGCTATTCAGCCAACTTTCTTCTCAGAGATAAAAACTACAGAGGACCATTTGGCCTCACAAAACATATGCAACCAGTAATGCGTGTTGTTTAGTTGAGTGATTCCTCCTTAGATGGACGTTCACAACGATCCTGGTGAGCAAACGTGGAATGACAGTTTGGGCCCTAAAAACTACCTAATTTGCAAGATGACATCTTATAGTTTTTATTTGACGTTTTATAGGTTTTTTACATGATACCCATTCCGGGGTCTAGTCTAGTAAAACTTGCTTATAACGTTTTTTTGTATGCAAATGAACTTTTCTAAATTAAAGTGTTCTTAGCAAGTAGAAAATGAATCTGTAGAGTATAAAAGACCAGAACAAATTCCGTAAGGGTTGCCAGGTTAAAGTAAAAATCAACTATATAGGAATATAATCATAAAATGCCAGGCTAGAGAATGGAATAGATTTGTCACCAGGGGGAGAGGGTAGTAGCCTGCCTGTTAGCCTGGTGAAGATGGGGGGTTGTCAGACACGTGTAATAACGAAAGTATAAATTCATTACAAGAGAGGGTCATTTTGAGGTGGGGAGGGGGACTTCTGGGAGCGAATGTTCTTGTGACGGAAAAACAGGGAGGAGGGTTACCGACTAATGAAAATTGAAGAGCGGGGGACATAATTTTCTGCGTATTTACCTTTCCTCGCAGAGATCTCTCTCTCTCCCGGTTATCGTACAAAAACATCTAGCAACTCCGAGTCAAAAAAGTGTTTGGATGGGATGTCGATAATATGGTTGGAACACGACACCTTGATATGGCATTTGTCCATAAACGTCATTGCGCTTAGAGCACAGAACTTCCGCTGGTCCTCGTTTCATGTATCTATACACATGTAACATATATAAGCAAAAATGTGCATTATAAATTGGCGTCAGAAATGTTAAAAATTCCCAGATATCGCTAATTTGCTGGATACTTGGCGCCACTAAAGTAGCCAATCGTCAAGATATCCATATTAGTCGCCGCCATTTGAAACCGTCAAAATGTTACTTTGGCGAAAAGTCGCCACGCCTGGCAACCCTGCTCCCTCTACCTAGCGTTGACGGAACCATCAGAATTTTCTGTCATTTGTCAATATGGGAAATTTTGAAATATTACTAATTACCAGCTGTTATTCCACCGTAATGGATACTCCTGAAAAATAAGCCCGACATGTCTCAACCTGTTGAATCCCCATAATCCCTCACCACTGTCACGCACACGCTTGACAGACGCGGTGGTAAATTTGAAATTCAAATGACTGTCACTCTACGCTTGTTTCATTTACTTACTAAAATTGTAGTTCCCCCATTTTTATGAATAGACGTGTAAAAGTTTGATATGACAGTATAGCCTGGTACGGCTATATTCTGCATTTGATCGGTTGTAAGCCAGTGCCCATTAAAACACAAAACTTGATATCCAGTGTTGCCAGATCGAATGCTACGTAGCCAGTCTCATCACCTAAACTACTGACTTCGTAATCTTGGTTGCCTAAGCGTGGATGTTGCGAGGACCTCTCATCGGTACCTCGAAGTTTTATAGTTCACAAGTGCGCTACAATAGCATTAGGTTGGCTATCTTCAGGTAAAATGCAAGAATTCAATCTATTTGGTTGTTGTACTCTGTTTATTTCCCCCTAACGATGATATAAATGAAAACACAGAAACACACTGTATTTAATATTATATTAATTTAGTATATCAACTGTACATAATTAACTAGGCTTTTTGAGCCAAAACCGCCAAGTCAGCGATGCATTTGTTAATGTTCTGTTTTTCCTGGTCAGGGGTGATTGAAGCCCTAACTTTAGCCACCACCCAATCAACGAGGTTCTTCTGTTGAATCCTGCGTTCGATATTCTGCTTCTCGACCTGGTAGTCGAGGCGCTTCTTCACCTCCCTGAAAAGCAACAACATTCATTCTAGAAAATAGAAATACGTGAAAATGACAATAAAAAATGGCGCCAATGTTATAATATTTGAGGTTTTGTTAGTTTCACATGTTGCCGCTAGAGAGCATTGGTTGAAAAAGTAGCTAACCTAAAATTTAGGCCGAAGAAAATTTCAAAATACCTTAAATGTTTATTTTTTTAAGCTAATTTTCTGATTAATAATGATTTTTCTGAATGACGAATTTTTTTATTCATCAGGATAAAATCATCCTTTTTGAAAATATTACAATATATCGCTAAAAGGTAAGTAAACATATGCAACCAACAATGCCTGTAGTTTGCACCCTAAAAACTACCTAGTCTGCAAGATGACATTTTAAAGGTTTTTTTTAACGTTTTATAGGTTTTTTACATAATACCCGTGCCGATTAGCATCCACATCTATCCTTACGCCCTGTATCTATCTACTATGTAATACCTGTAAGCAGAAAGGAGTCTCTCGCGATAGTTTGCTTCCAACTGAAGCGCAACATTCTCCCTCTTAGCATCTATGAGCAGGGTCTGTCCTTCCATGCTCCACTGTGCTTTTTGTTCATCAGATATCTGTTCATTGAGGATTTGCTTCTCTTGTACTCGGCTTTCGTTCCATTCTGATTCATATTCCTAAACAGACGTTAAAATGTTACTGAAAAATTCGAAGTAAACGTTCTATCTAATTTTTCAAATGTACATCCCATAAGTCCGTGAACATTTTTATCTCGGTCTGTCACGCTAGTTCTTCCTTCTACATTCAACAACCTGATACTTACATCAACTTTTTTGTCGAGGGCTTCTGCAAGCTTTGGTCCTAGTTTCTTCACGCCGACAATCCACATAATAAGCAAAGACAATCCTGAATAGTATTCATGCTCCATGACATATATCTCTTTGCTGATGAGATATGTGCTTAGTGTAAACGCAAAGGTGTAGGGTCCAGTGACACCCGTCTTTTTATAGAAGAACTGGAACCATTCTTCAGGGATGAATCCCATGCGCACTTTACCAGGTTCTTGCCTCACCTATAATAAGAAAATCAGATTTCATAAAAGAATCTACTACGTGAATAGCAGATAATTTACAGACAGTAACTGATAGAGCATTTGTTGCAGTATTTGCCTAAGAAACACAAAATATATAATTTTAAATATTTAAAAGTGCAAGATGGATATACATAGTTCCAATTTAAAAAACTATATTTTCCGTTTTCAATACAAAACAGTGAAATTTTTATCGGCCAGGATGTGACGTCATACAAATTGTAAACAAAGAACCGTCATCCGTATGTTACTCGTGGTCTAAAGTTGACTTTTTTAGATATTTCTAAAAAACTGCTTATAAAAGTGGAAGTAATCGTTTTAAGGTTTTATCGAAGAAAAAAAACAATCACGGACGTTGGATTCGTAAAAGAAGAAAGCACACGTTTGCCGAAAATCTTCACATCAATGGCTGGTTATTTTGTTTGCCCAGTATATTTGCCCTGGGCACTCCAATCGACACAGCTTTTCTGGGGTCTTTGTCGTTGTGTTTTTAAATTCTTGATCGATACAATAACAATAATAGCTATGTTTTTCGTGTAAACTAGTAAACGTCATGTCTATATGTTTAAACATTTGAGAGGTTATGCTGCTGTCAACTGGTGTTAACAAATGGTATGACCTGAGAACACATTCAGTTAGTTATATTCAGGTATATTCTTTAATTCACTGGTTGAGGCACCGGTGCAACCAGAATTTCCGTCTGAGCGACCGGTTGTACATCAAACTTGTATACAGGGTGTCCGCAAAGTTGGGGTTTTCCTTTTCAGAAACAACTACCCTTGAAATAACAAAGATAATGTGTAGTGAAACGAGGGCGACCAAGTAAAAAAAAAATAAAGGAAAAAGTACTCACTCTCCAGTTGACGAGAAGGGCTAAGTACGTCTCTGCCCGAAATCATACCGCTCCCCCAGAAAATGAAATCAGCTGATGCGCTACCGAGCAGACGCAGGCAAACAAGGAAGGCAAAATGTTGCGTAAAAAGTCTAGGTATTGCATCCCGTCCAATCGATTTGGGAGAATAAATGGTCCAATGAGCATACCGTTCACCATGCCAGCCCAAACATTCACCGAAAATGTTTGTTGAAAATGTGCCCGACGAACAGCGTGCGGATTTTCTACTGACCAAACATGAGTGTTGCGAAAGTTATTCACCCCATTACGCGTGAACGTAGATTCGTCTGTCACCAATATGCACTTCAAAAAGTCCGGATTATTGTCATGTTGATGCAACAACCACTCACAAAACCGCACTCTTGCTGGAAAATCGTCAGGTTAAAGGGCTTGTACACGTTGGACGTGAAACGGATACAGCCCCTCTTCACGCAGCGTTTGCCACACTTTAGTTTTTGATACTTGCACTTCTCTAGCCACGTCTCTAGTGCTTGTTGAGGGATCCTCGTCTACGCGATTACCTCTACATGCGTGACCGTAACCGTCGGTTGAAGGTTGCATACTGACCTGACACACTGACCCCGACCCAGTTCTGTCGTCGGGTTGAGCTAGTGTCCTAGTACCACTCGGGGATGTCGCGGCTACAGGACGGTATTCAGATATTTTTGATGTTGCAGAGCCCTTTATCTCGGTTCCCTTAAGACATTGGTGTATATGGTACTAAGAAAAATTGCTTATGTTTTCAAGATCTACACGTCGTGTAAAGAAAAACCCCAACTTTGCGGACACCCTGTATAAACTATATAGACAAGTTTGGTGTACAACCGGTCGCTCAGACGGTAATTAAAAGAAGAAAAATTGGTTAATTGCTTGAATGTCAGATATGGTTCTAAGGTTCTTTGAGTCATACTTGCTAAATCGTCAAAGAACAGTGAAAACTGATCAGGGGATTTCCTCCACTGAGCCAGTTCCTTCAGGAGTTCCACAGGGTTCCTTACTATATCTGATTTATACGATCAATCTGCAAGACTGTTTAGTCCACTGTTGTATGCAAACTTATGCAGATGATACTCAGTTAGTGTTTGGTTTCGATCCATCAAAGGTAGATGAAGTTTCTTTTAAAGTTAATTTAGATTTGGCTAACATCAGTGATTACTGTAACAAACACTGCTTGACGATCCATCCTAATAAAACTACTGCAATGTTGTACTGTTCGAAGAACTCCTACCGTGAAATGAAGCAGAGGATTTGTGTTGTTTTGGATGAGACACTCATCCCTTTTGTGGATTACGCCAAGAATCTCGGTGTTACTCTTGATTTGAATATGAGATTCGATCGGCATGTCTCTTTCTTAACGTATATGCGTTTGAAACTCCTCTATTCTAATCGATTCATCCTGAATTTTAAAACCCGAAAAAAGCTCGCCGAAAGTCTTGTGTTGTCTGTCATTTCTTACTCTCTTGTTCTGTATTACCCATGTTAAGAATACGTCCACAGAAGGAAACTCCAGAAAACTCAGAACAGCTGTTGTACGTTTATTTTTGGATTGCGCAAGTTTAGTCGCGTCTCAGATAAAATGAAAGAACTCAACTGGTTGCGAATTGATAAGTTATTTTTATATCTTTTGACTGTCTTCATGCATAAAGTTCTATTATCTAACAGACCAGCTTACCTCGCTAGCAAATTAGTTGACCGAGGTAGTTTTGTTACCAGAGCTCTTAGATTTAATGCTAATTTTAACATGCCTCCTCACAATACCTCGGTCTTTGAAAGAAGTTAAACCTATAATGCTGTCAAGCATTACAATGCAGTCAACAGTGGCTATCGATCCAAACAGGTTGCTTCTTTTAAGAAATTAATGAAAAGTCAGCTGCTGGAGTCCATTTAGTTCAGTTTTTTTTGTGTTCATGTGCTTTTTTTTTTACTATTTTCTACTATTTCTGTTTCAAATTTAAAACTCTCACAATACTATTTGCATTTGTCTAGTGCAGTCAATGTTGTCATTCTTATGAACTGTATTTTTTTGGTATGTTATTATTTTGTTTATGTATTTAAGTATTTTTTTCCTGTTGTGGGATTGGGTGTAAGAGTAGCCATCTGGCTAAACTTCACCTCAGTGCAGCTAATAAAGGCATTATTATTATTATTATATTGATTCTCGGAGCGCAAATTCTCTCCACTGGATAACTTCTTCATCTGAATCATCACTCGAATCGCTTAACAAACGTTCCACGACAATACCAACTGCTGCGTACATTGCCATAATGATTTTAAATGATACAGTGTTCAAATTAACAAGTATCCATTTACGATAAAACAAAGGTTAGGTTTTCTCATATGACAGCAACCTGAAGGGTAAAAATGCGTCTTTTTTTTAACGACCATTCAACGGAACCGGTTGCCGACGTCATCACATCAGCTGTCAACCATGAGTTCAACGGAATGGAATCAACCGGTGCATTAAAGAATATACCTTTCACACACTCATCTGTTCATTGCAAATCAGCAATTTTACTTATACATTCAACATACATTCTGTTTTTAAGGAAAAGTCCCTAGGAGGTAAGTGTTACAGGAAATTAAGTATATAATACTATAAACTATACCAAATTTCTGTTACTGTATATATAAAAGAGTAAGTAAAGTATTAAATGGTTCTGAAATTGTAGGGTTAGTGTGTACATAATATATATTAAACAACTAGGAACAGTAGAAATCTAAAAATACCCCAGCCTTTCTGTAGGAGAGAAAATACTATGAAAATCAATTAACTTGCGCATTTATTCGCACATTGTTTATTTGTTCAGATGTTCTATTAGTTATAGGTCTAAGTAATATCAAATATGTATTTTTTACGACTAGAGTGTACCTAAAATGTTTCTGAGAAAATAAATTGTTTTAGAAGTAAATAGATTCGTTGTCTTTAGTTTATAAAGGCATATTTTGGTACAAATCTTGAAGTAGGCCAACTTAAGTGGGAAGGGGCTTGTATTACCTAGTAAATATTACTGTATTGAGCAATTCTGTTATCATTTGAACTATCATATGAGGTCAATGCAAGGACATCTTTTTAGAGGCCTCACCTACAGAATGTTGACATTTTTGTGCAACAGTGAATACTATCACTTTAAACTGTATCTTATTCTACCCATACACAATTGCAAATTCAATTTATAAGAATGGTATACTGATAGGTGGGGTTACTTCAACAAATGCATAATTCCAATTTCAGGAGTTTAAAAGTATATAAATCTAAATAAAGTTTTGAAGGTCTAGGGAATCCTAATCTGGTACATATGCCTACTGTGTTGCTAATATCTTTTAAAAAAAAAACAACTTACGGGTCGAAGGCTAGTAGCAGTGTCATCCGACTTTGCAGCTTGAGAATTTGCAGGAGAAGTGCCTGTAGTTCTTGCGGAATAAGCCACAAGAGCCCTAGCGCTTTGGCCTGTAAATACACGTTACAAAAAAATCACCCAAGTATTACATAAACGATTATATGGTGATATGAGATATCATTTATTTTGAGAATATAACTACAACCAAGGCCAAGCTGCAATTAATCAATGGATATAATTACCTGACAAAAGAGTAGCCCTGGACAGCATTTTACCAAAAATTTAAATTGCGAATTTAATTTTTTAGTAAAAAATTCAGGCAAGTAGCCCAGCAAGGCGCATAAGACATAAAAAATCCAGAACGACTAGACAGATGACAGACACACAACGCAAAACTGACAGTTGTCTAATGCGATACGTTCTGTGTGTGTGACATTAGCTGTCAGTGTATATGTTTTGTGATTAGCTTCCTAACCATAAAACGCATAACCCTACTTCTTATCCGTTCTAATTCACGCTTTTTCCCTTTTCTCAATTTTTGAATTTGACTGTGCATGTTCAAAAATGGCAAGACGAGGAAAATTAAAATTCAAAGATGTCGTTAAAAGTCACGAACATAAAAATAAAGTAAATAAGAAACCTAGACACAACTCAAAGAAGTTTGTAAACAAGGTAAAGAAAGAGAAGAGGAAACACACGGGTCCCCAAATTTCAGAGGACGCACAACCGAAGAAACCAAAACTAGAAGCGCCCGCAGTAGAAGAAGAGTCGGCTGTTTCTTCAGATGATGAATTTACTTTGAGCAACCTTCTGAAAACATTTCAGAATGTTGAGAATAAAAAAAGACAAATTGCCATTGATAGTAGTGATAGTGAAGAAGAAAATGATGAATTGAGTGAAGAAAATCCTGATCATGATGAGGAAGCAGGCAGTATAAGTGACGATTCATCTCTAGAAAGCCAAGATAACCAACATCTTGATGCTATTAAGGAAGACATATCTGAACATAGCACTGATGGTGATGAAAGTGAAAATGATGCAGATGAGGATAATCCATCAATTTCACAAGGTGAATTAGATGATGATACAGAAAACACTGAAGATCCTTTTGTAAAACACATTTCCTATGAATTGAATGATGATCTATTAAATTCTTTACAAAGTACACCAGTGTATGTTAGATGTGATACAGAAAATTGGCCACAGTTAGGAAATATGGTAGTACAAATACCTAAATGTGAAGTGAAAGTGTCTCAAAGCTCAGTGATAATCTCAGAAAATAAAACATTTGCACCTGAAGGAACAATTCCAAAACTTGTATCAAAGTCTGTAAAACCTGAAACTTTATTTATAAAATCCCAGATTATAGGAAACTTGTATAAAGTGAACAAAAACGTCACTGGTAGTGAACATTTCAATTCATTACAAGCAGAGCTGTTTTCAGTGATAAATAATTATCAGGATCTATATTATCCATATCGAACATTTGAAAATGCAGAAGCAATTCGATATACTTACTGTTTACATGCAGTAAACCATATTTTAAAAACAAGACTAAAAGTTATTCATCATAATGCTAGGTTGTCTAAGAAAGATGAAGTACCTGAGGAATTTCGAGATCAAGGCTTAGTTAGGCCAAAGGTAATATACCTAATTTGAAACAATTTTTAATCCCTTGGTCAAGCTGATGTGCAATTAGATGGCAAAAATAATAGGAGCTAATAAAACCAATTACGCATTAAAAATTCATCATGATGCATTCATTACTTACGAGACATCAATTTTCAGCATTTCTTTTATAGTGAATTTTTAATTGTAGGTTCTTTTTATTGTTCCATTTAAAGATGCAGCCTACAAAATCATCCGATTGCTAATAGATCTCATATTACCAGAGGACAAAGGCAATGTTATGAATAAAAATAGGTTTTTGGCAGATTATACAGGAAACGAATTGTACCTTCCCAAGAAAAATCCAAAACCTGAGGACTATGAACAGACTTTCCAAGGAAATTCTAGTGATGAGTTCAAAATGGGCATTACTGTTACAAAGAAAAGTCTCAAGGTATGGCAAAAACTAAACAGTTATCTAGTAGGAGTAGGAATAATGGGATGTGACATCATTTTATCATTGATTAAACTTATTGGAGCCACTAAAATCTGGATCTTCATTCCATACAAACTGGACTACACAGAAGCTATTAAAATAAAAAAAAATCCTTAATATTGAACTCAGACTTTTATTCCAACATTGACCATTATTAGTGGAAAACTTATTTCTGGATGTAAATATTTAATTTTCAGCTGTATGCAGACTTTTACTCATCTGATATAATAGTGGCATCACCGTTGGGCTTACGAACCATCATTGGTGCCGAAGGAGAAACAGAAAGAGATTATGACTTTTTGGCCTCTATCGAGTTGCTGATCTTTGATCAGACGGAAATATTTCTTATGCAAAACTGGGATCATGTTTTACATATTATGAACCATATTCATTTGCAGCCAAAGGAATCGCATGGTACCGATTTTTCCAGGTATTGAAAGCGATTTGAACACTCCAAAATATTTTCTTCGCTATATCTTGCAAACTTTTAATTTGTCGTGTTCGTATATCCCTCTATTTGCACCAGGCTTTTGGGATTACAAATATTGTCACGTTTCCAATGTAACAAGTAGCAGGCAAATGTGCTGCAACATGTTGCAGAATGTCAGAATGTCTGGTAATCATGCGACATGTTGCATGCACTACAAATATCTGACGCAATTTAATTATGGACAAACATACCTTAACATCCATTTGATTTTTCAAGGGTGCGGATCTGGAATTTGAACGGTTGGTCAAAATATTATAGACAGACATTGATATTTTCGTCCTTGGTTCTGCCAGAAATAAACGCGATCTTCAACAAGCGGTGCTTGAACTATGCAGGGAAAGTGAAAGTTAGCAACCCAGTTGAATTCGGCAGCATCCGGCAGGTGAGTGCTAACAAGGTTTTCTGGCGGAGCTAAGCTGACTCTTCTAGATATTTGCTAGCCAATATATATATATATTGGCTATATATATACAGGGTGGCGCATCGAAAACGAAAACAGACGCGTTTAGTGGCAGCTCAGTTTTTTTTTTTTTTAAAAACGCTCAGACCCGTCGATTTTGTTTTCGAGGGGGACACAAGTTTGGCAAAAAATCACGTTAACACGTTCAGCCCCCTGGGCGGGGGTGACACCAACCCTAAAGGGAATTGAAAGACCTTTAAAATGAGATATCACTCGAGCCCCTTTCCGTTTAAGATTTTTGGGGTGGTGTCACTCCCGCTTAGGGGGCTGCACGTGCTAACGCGATTTTTTGCCAAAGAATTTACTTAATAAGTAAATGCTTTTCTTCACTACGCCCATGGTTTGTTTATCATTTTGTTGTTGAAAATAGCTATTGGAGCGTTTTTTTGTGGCAAAAAAGTTATTTCTTGAAGAAAGATAAGGAAATATCTCATACTTATTTTAAATAGGAATTTAGTACATAGTTTTGCGATTGATTTAACCAAACTTTGTTGCTAAAATAACTTGTAACGCTTTATTACATAAATTAAGCGTGGTATATTCCACAGCAGAAAGAGTTGAAATTATCGAAATATTTATCGGAAATAATCAGTGCGCTAATAGAACAGCAGAAATATTTAATGAGCGACATGAGAACAGTGAGTGCATCGAAAGTATGTTCTAGAACTTGTAGCTAAATTTCGGGAAACTGGGTCAGTCGCCAATAAAAAACGGTTTTAGAGCAAGTTTATGTAGATCCTACGTTAAGTACCAGTAAACTGGAGACTGTGTGTGGTGTTAGTCGACGTACTGTCCAACGGATTCTAAAGGCCCACAGTTTTCATCCGTATAAAATTCACCTGGTACAAGAACTTAATGAAAACGATTTTGATCGGCGATTACAATTTTGTGAAGATATGAGTGAACGAATTATAAACGATGAACATTTTCTATTCAACACTTGCTTTTCCGACGAATGTTCCTTTTTCTTAAATGGAGTAGTAAATGTGGGTTTCCATTTAAAAATCTAAAATCTATTTTTCGATCACCCTGTTTTGAACGGCTATAGAAAAGACGTCCCCCTAGAAATAAACGTCGACGCGTTTGAGCGTTTTTCCCAAAATAAACCAGGACAGTCACAAATGGAGGTGCGACCTTTTCGTTGGATGTATGATGGAATACTTTTTTATCCATGCTTGTTCAATTACGGTTCTCACGTCCGCCTTATTTGCAGGTCGCGGTGCAGTTGCCCCACGTATTTCACCGGTTCGAATGTCGGAACGCGGTGGACGGTATCGATGCAAGATTCGAGTTCTTCATCAACAAAATCTTGCCTCACCACAGAGAAAGTCTGATGAAACAGACACTCATATTTATACCCAGCTATTTCGATTATGTGCGGATCAGGAATTACTTCAAAAGGGAATTTATAGGGTTTGTGCAGATATGTGAATACTCCAAGGTAAGAGTTACTTTTCTTAAGTAGAAAATATTCCTATTTCCTGTAACGGGTGATAATAAAAAGGACATATTTCCTAAAATTTCCCGTTTTCAAGATACAATTCAATTCAATTCAATGGACTTTATTGTAACACATACATAATTATGTATCCTTACAAATGGCGAAGTCTGACCAATGGCCATTTATACTTAACCATAAATGTCATGTCAATGCTTATTACTACCTTAAAAATAAAATAAAAAACTGAAAAAGAAAAGGAAAAAGAAAAATAATAGTAAAAGAAGAATTAATAAATATGACATAATGCGTACGATTAGAACAAAAAACATAATACGTAAGATTTAAAGATATTTTTTTTTAAATGTTCAGTATACATCCCATTCCGTACACTGGTAGAAGCATTAAAAAATATTCTATATCAAAAAATACCTATTGATGCCTAGTAGGTGCATGTCAGATTTCATGACCATATCTAGAACAGTATTAAATTTATGATAAAAAAACACTCTGTAGCACAAAAGTTAAGAGAACTTTTCTTCCTAAAATGAGCTAAGGAATCATATCCTGTATTTTTAACCATCAATTAAATTACACCCAGTATAATGCGGGCTTTTATTCACCTTCCAGGAAGCCAAAGTTGCCAGAGCGAGAGATATGTTCTTCCACGGAGACGCTCATTTCTTATTATACACAGAGAGGTTCCATTTTTTCAACCGGAAACGTATCAAAGGCATTCGACATCTGATATTCTACCAACCCCCAATTTTCCCACATTTCTATTACGAAATGTGCAACCTTATGCAGGTATTGAAGTTTTATTTTCATTTACTACTTACTATTTAATGCTGTCGATGGAAGTTGTAGGATTTGTAGATTTTTTAAGTAATTTTTGCACGTTGACCCATAATAATAATAATCTTTATTCCGACATATTTGCACCCACTCACAGAAACGGCCAATAATATACAAGGGTGGTCCCAGAAGTATCCGATCCAACGAAGAGAAAACACAAATATTTTGTACAATAATGTATTTATTTCTCAACATAATCTCCTTTGAGGTCTATACACTTTTCCCAGTGATGTTCAATAAGTTTGATACCCTTTTTATAATAAGAACTGTCTTGCTCCTCAAAATAGCCATTAACTGCCGACATCACTTCTTCATCGTTGGAAAATCTTTGACCACTGACCCATTTTTTCAAGTTTGGAAACAGAAAATAATCCGAGGGGGCTAAATCTGGTGAATAGGGTACATGAGGTAGCAATTCAAACTTTAATTCGTTAACGGATTTGTGAGCTGGTTCATTGTCTTGATGAAACAACACTTTCTTCTTAACCAAATGCGACCGTTTTTGCTTGATTTCATCGCTCAAACGTTGCAATAAGTTCCCATAATACTCGCCGTTGATAGTTTTACCTTTTTGAAGATAGTCAATGAAAATTATCCCACGCGCATCCCAAAAAACCGACGTCATAACCCTGCCTGTAGATGAAACGGTCTTCGCCTTCTTTGGAGCCGGTAGTCCCTTTTGAGTACTTTGTTTTGATTGTTCTTTGATCTCGGGTCTGAAGTAATGGACCCATGTTTCATCCACGGTTATGAAACGACGCTAAAATCCTGCTTTGTTGCTGTGAAACTTCGCTAAACACTCAGTTGAAACATCTTCACGACACTGTTTTTGCTCGATTGTGAGCAATCGAGGCACCCAGCTTGCACACAGCTTTCTCATGTCCAAATGTTCAGATAATATGCGATGAACCGCACATTTTGAAATGCCTACTATGTCTGCTAGCTCGCGCACTTTCAGTCGACGATCATTCAGTACCGCTTTGTGAATTTTCTTCACCTTTTCTGGAGTCGTCACCTCATTTGGTCGAGCACTGCGATGCTCGTCTTCGCGGCTCATACGGCCCTGTTTAAACTCTGCTATCCAATATTTTACTGTTGTAAACGAAGGAGCAGACTCACCCAGAGTAGAATCCAGTTCAGCTTTTATATTGGACGGGCTGAGGCCTTCGAAATAAAAGTATTGTACCACATAACACGATGACCAATTTTCTCCATTTTCACAAATTCACTGAAAACGTTCAGTATTAAACAAATACTAAACAACGTGGCGTCTTCAAACTTGACACATATGCTTTATAGGTTGCATACTTTCTAATACAATGATATTTTTCAAACAACTTTCGCCATCTCTAGGTCAGGCCGGGTACTTCTGGGACCACCCTCGTACATCAAGTACTAGATTCACTTGTGTACAAAATGCATTTAAAACGTGAATGAAAAACATTATTACAGGAAATAAAACATAAACATGAATTACAGTAAAATTGACACATAAAATAAATATCGAAAAATTACGGCTTCTTTTGCAATTACTATTTAAGCACAAAATATGTTAGTTTAAAACTACTTACTTATTTTGTAATGATCTTATTTCAAATTTATTAGTGATACTTGATTGTTGGACTTTCTATTGCAGTATCACAAACTCTTCTATAGTTGAAAATCATTTGCTACTTTTTAGTTCGATGCGAGTTTTTCAGTTTTTTAAACTATAATTTATTTATAATAAATAAACCAGTTGCATTTTGAATTGCAGGAGGGGAATCAGAACAGAAAAATTGGAAGCAACTCAAATATGTCCGTGACCGTTATATATTCTAAATATGACGTGCATCAGTTATCAGCAATCGTGGGCACGGAAAAGACTGCTAAAATGGTACAGTCTGAGAGAAGTGTACACATGATGGTTACTGGAAATGATTAAGACTACCTCTTTTATTGTTATGTATATTCCATGTATGCCTATGTCAATATAATTTATTTTTGTTACCTATCTGTGTATATTTTATTTGCTTGTACAGGGTGGCCGACGGGTTTATGAATGTATTTATCTTACTGTAAATAACAAGTGAAAAAATTTTCAGCCTTATCAGTTGGACATTCCGGTTTTTATACTGCTTTTTTTAATTCACTAACGCTCTAAAAATGAATATTTCAGCCGCAGTAAAGAATCAACGTTGGCGGATTTTGGTTCTTGACATCCTTTACGATCGGTTACGATGCCTAGAGTACGGAGACCTGTACGATTTCGTCAACTTAGTGAGTTTGATAGGAGCCGTATAGTGGGACTTCGGGAAGCTGGACTTTCTTTTCGGGCAATTGCACTTAGAGTGCAAAGAAGTGTAGACACTGTGGTTAGGTGTTGTCAGGCATGGCTTCGAGAAGGCCGTCCGCAAAGAGCAAGGGGCACTGGACGCCGCCGTAGAACAACAGACCGTGAAGATCGCCGCCTAAGATTATTGGCCTTAAGGGACCGTTTCTCCACTACCAGGCCCATTGCAAATGAATGGTTTGCATGGCATGCGAAGTGTTTACCGACGAATGAGAAGTTTTGGCTTGTTTTCATACCGGCCACACTGGGTCCTCCCTTTAACTCGAGAACACCGACGTAATCGCCTTGAGTGGTGCAGACAACGGTCACTGTGGGATCAGGAATGGAACAGTATTGTCTTTAGTGGCGAGTCTCGATTTTGTTTAGGCATGCACGATGGTCGTGCCAGGGTTATAAAGCGACGTGGTGAAAGGAGGAATCCACAGTTTTTTGTTGAAAGACATGTTCATCACACTGTTGGAGTTATGGTTTGGGGTGCTATAGCTTATGGTTCCAGGTCACCTTTAATCTTCATCAGAGGTAACATGAACGCGCAGCGTTATATCCACGAAGTTCTAGAACCCCATCTTTTACCCTATCTTGACACCCTGGCAGATCCAACTTCCCAACAAGATAATGCCCGACCACATGTTGCAAGAGTCACAATAGACTTCTTTCAACATAATGATGTCACATTGTTACCATGGCCACCAAGATCTCCCGACTTATCCCCAATTGAGCACGTGTGGGATATGATGGGTAGGAGATTGCTCAATTTGCAACGTCCTCCTCAGACTCTAGAAGCACTTCGAGAGGAGTTGGTGGTTGCCTGGAATGAGATACCACAGGAGGACATTGACCACCTGATCAGAAGCATGCCTAGGCGCGTTGGAGAATGCGTAGCACATCAGGGTGCATCCACACATTATTAAAGGTCAAAGGGCTTTAAAGCAGTGCAATCATTTTGAAATTTTTATCATTTACTTATTATAGTACTTATACAAAATTTTATTAAAATAAAACCATTTAAACTGGGTGTTCGGATTTATATGTCACTTAGTATATCTTGAATATTTGTGAAGTGAAATAAAATACGTCCATTTTTTCCATCTTGATCTTTTATTGAAACTTAGAAATTCGTTTCCGTAATAATTTTCAAAAATTCCCATAAAAAGGTCAGGAGCCGTTAAATCCCGGAAATATTGTTCGCAAAAGATTCATTGTTTCCCTAGCTGTGCGACAAGTTGCTCCTTCCTGCTGGAACAACATAAATTGCTGGATTTGAGGAGCTACAAAGTTTTGCACCATATCACGGACGCGCTCGCTAGTGACAGTAAGGTAATTGCAAACTGTGTCTCGACGAGAATGCAGTGGTCGTTGATGCATGACACGACGGTTTTCTAATGCCCAGCTACGACAATTCTGCTTATTGACAAATCCGTTCATATCGGAGTGGACTTCATCGCTCAGTATCAGTTATCGGTAAAAATCGTTATTTTTGGTTCAATATTGCATGACTGTATTGTCGGCGACCTTCATGGACTGTCGTTCTTGGGTTAACTGAATTTTGTATGGCCGCAAATGCAAGTCTTTTTTTAATATAATGCATAATGACGAGCGACGAATACCCAGTTCTTGAGAACGATGTCTGGTAGACGTATCGGGGCGCTCCACTACACTTTCACGAACTCTCTCGATATTTTCCGAACACGGCCCCGGCAGGTCTTTAACTTCACCTGTTTCGACCAAAATCTTGTCGTAACTTCCAAATCGTTGCAACATTACTCATTATTTAAGTAAAACGTTTTAACGATACGACGCGTGGTGGGATCGTGTAGCGCTCCATGATGAACATATGTGCTTTAAACAACTGCGGCGCCACCTACTGTCAGTTATACAGTGTGTTTGTTCACGGTACATAAGTGTCACAGAACGATAAATTTGGTGTCAATTGAACAATAGCATGTTGTACTAGCGATTGTTGAAAAACTTGTATTGATACTAACCGTCAAACATACTTAGGCAGCAGCGGTGGCCGCAGTAGTAGACTCTTCGGTCTCCTGATCAGTCGCCGTGCGCTGTGCGGGTTCGAGTCCCGTCCCAGGAGAAATTTTTCTCTTGGCTATGGATGTTGTGATTGTCCGTAGGTGGTAGACGGTCTCTGACTGTCGAACGCGGAGGTACCACCCGGCGGATCTCGTAGGCGGAGCCAGAATGAGTGCATGTTGCATGTACACGTGTTCCCTCGCCAGAGTCCGTGTGGCGTTCCCCCTTTCCCCTGTATCCCCCTATAGCCCCACGGTACCCAATGGGTGTTTAGGCCTTAGGCCTTCGTGGTAGTTGGAGTATAAAAAAAAATCCAGAATTAATGCAGTAATTGCATGGTCATCCGCTGAAAATTTTGCCATCTCGACTTCACGGAACACAACTGCACTGTCAGAGCACGGAGAAAAATACTGACCGGTGTGAATTGAAAACACTGCCGCAACATATGGTTGGAGCTCCCACACGCTTTTGCGCTAGAACATTTGGACAGCAATGTGCATAACCAATAATGGAGGACATTTTGAACACCTGTAACATTAAACAAGTACAAACTATTTATAAGAAACTTTGATTTGTCATTTTTATGTATACTTTGACCCATGTAAGATAGCATTTATTACTTAACGTAGAAGAAATTTGGGGTCATTTTGTAGATAACCTACGAGCCCCTTCCCACTTCAGTTGGCCCAACTATTGAAACCTTGTTTTTTTTCTTATCAAACACAAATAATAAAAATGTAGCAGGGTGTTATAGGTTTAAAATATTAACAATGAATATTTTGATAATATATAGTAGAAAACACCAACTTTATCACTCCCTAATTAAAATTGCAGCATAAAAATAACACATGTTGCAATTACAGCATATCAACCTATTTTCATTTCAATTCAAAATAAGTCTATAACGCATAGGTGGCTATGAAAAATAAAAGCCATGACAATTGTTTTCATTAATCACAGCTGTCAGAATACGTTTAAAATAGTTTTGGGTAGTTAAGATTTTCAAAATGGGTAGAAGAAAGGTTATTAGTGAGAAAATTCGGTTACTGATAATTAAATTTTTTAATTCCGGAAAATCAAACTCAGAAATTGCAACTTTGTTAGACTTATCGCGGTACAGTGTGAGAAATATTGTTAGAAGATATAGCGTAACTGGTTCAGTTAATATTAAGCCACGATATGTAAAAAAAAGTAATATCACAAATGCCGACCGAAGAGCATTAAGAAGAATAATCGTGAAAAACAGCCGTGCCAATTATTTACAATTAAGTGCTCTGTGGAGTGACGCTGTTGGAAGGAGAATTTCGAGGTCCACAACTCACAGAGAGGCCCATAAACTGGGATTTAGCACTTGCAAGGTAAGTTTTCTTATAAAAAAGAGTGAAAAACCCTAAAGTTGCACAACTTGTTTATAGGCCAAAGAAAAGCCACTATTAACTCCACTGCAAAAGAAAAATCGGCTTAGATGGACTAAAGAACATAGACAATGGACATATCAACAATGGTGTGCAATACTATGGAGTGATGAGGCCCGATTTGAAGTTTGTGTTGGTGACAGTCGCAGTAGAGTTATTCGCAAAAAAATGAAGCATTCCATGTTGACTGTCTGAAGAGAAAAGTGAAATTTCCAGCATTCATTATGGTCAGGGGCAGTATGTCATCAAAAGGAGTAGGAAAACTTCATTTTATTGATGGAAATGTGGATACAAACAAATATTTGGCAATCTTAGAAGAATCGCTTTTACCAGTGATGGAAGAATGTTTGACATCCGGCCAAGATTTTGTGTTTCAGCAAGATGGTGCAGCGTGCCATACCTCAAAAAAGGCTATAAAATGGATGGAAAAAATAATGTACCACTTTTGAAATGGGTTTCTAGCAGTCCAGATCTGTCACCTATTGAAACTTTGTGGCACGAGATGAAAAAGGTTCTACGACAACATCCTGCTCGTACAATCACCGAACTGAGACAAAAGCTTCAAGAAATATGGGATTGTTTTACACCAAATTTTTGCCAAAACTTGGTTAACACTATGCCCCAAAGAATTTCAGCCGTAATAAAAAATAAAGGTGATGTTACCCACTGGTAATCTTTCAATTGTTGCTTTGTTAACTTAGCGCATTTATTCGCACATTGTTTATTTGTTCAGATGATCTATTAATAGTTATAGGTCTAAGTGATTTCAAATATGTATTTTTTACGACTATGTTTTTGAGAAAATAAATTGTTTTAAAAGTAAATAGTTTCGTCATGTCTAGTTTATAAATGCATATTTTGGTACAAATCTTGAAGTGGGCCAACTGAAGTAGGAAGGGGCTCGTAGTTAGCTGTAGAATTAGCACAAAAAAAGTACAACTTCACAAACTAGCTTTTGAATGGTGTGCGGAAATGCACAAAATAATCAATTTTCTTGCATATTTTTTTCAGGTTTTGTCTGTTTTTAAGTATGTTTGACCGTTAGTATCAATACAAGTTTTTCAACAATCGCTAGAACAACATGTTATCGTTCAAACGACACCAAACTTATCATTCTGTGACTCTTATGTTCTAAGTTATTACAATTTTTATACACGCACTAGCGTAATCGTAACGTAAAAATAAAATTGGCTGCCATTTCAAGGGGGGTGAGGTAGGACATTGTAGGGTGGATTTGTCGATAAAAATAGCTGAAAAATACCCCCCTTAAATATCGGTATGCCGCGACCAAACACATTGTATA